GGTTTGTTTTGAATCTAGTAAGGTGTGTGTACGGTGTGTACTCGCGAGATCTGAACAATGCCGTGTTTCGTAAATGCTTTTAATTTTATTATGGTTTTATTATGGTTTTAATATTTGACAGTACTAATTTATACAAAATTTGTTTCGTCCTGTCAAAAACGTTTCCGGTTCTGAAAACGTAGAATTTGGCAGGACTAAAATTTTTTTTAGGGATTTTTAGTTAAGTTTAGAGAGTTTTCGAACAAAAGAATTAGCACCAATATCACCATATATTTTGTAAATTATACCTTTGATTTAGACTAACTTTTGCTGGCGTTAACGTAAATTTTGGTTAGACGATCGTCCATCGACTCTATCAGTCGGAAACACTACTATTATCTGGAAGAAGGGTATTTATTATTCGTGTGTTATTATGGTAGAAGACATTTGATACCCTTCATCTACATCTGATAAGTCCTCACGTCTTTGCAAAACTTGAAGGCGTATGCAAAAAAAACTCACATTGTCAAACACACTCATGTAGTGAACACATACTTTACTGGAGTAGGATGCACATTAGCTACTAAATTACTTAATAATATGAATTTATCGGAACAAGATTTATCACGCAACGCCCGCAACGTTAAGGATAGCTCACCTGTGAATACCATGTCATTTATTCCTACAGATCCTTTTGAAGTCAGAAGTATTATATTGGGTCTAAGGTCGCACAGTGCTCCTGGATGGGATAAAATTACTGCAGAAATTCTAAAGCAAAACATCGCCTCGCTTGTCCAACCTATAACCTTTATGTGCAACATTAGTTTACTAACAGGCTCTTTTCCTGATATTTTTAAAAGAGCCGTTGTTTGCCCTATCTTCAAATCAGGTAACAAACAAGAGCCTAATAACTACCGCCCTATCTCCCTTTTGTCAACGCTCTCCAAAATTCTAGAGAAGGTTGTTAACAAGAGAGTTACAAAATACCTCGAAAATAACAATTTTCTTAGTAAATACCAATTTGGTTTTAGAGAAAAGAAATCAACTGAGGACGCAGTTTTGACTTTGACATCAACTATAGTATCATATTTGGATGACGGAGACAAATGTTTGGGAGTATTCCTTGACCTACAAAAAGCATTTGATACACAGTGGAACACGGTTCCAATACTGTTAACACGCTTGGAGAGTGTTGGTATAAGGGGAGTGGTACTGGACTGGTTTACAGACTATTTGACTAATAGGTTCCAACGTGTCAAAGTAAATAACTTTGAAAGTAATGATGCCGCCTGCAAATATGGTGTTCCTCAGGGCAGCACGCTGGGACCGACGCTGTTCCTTATATACGTCAATGATTTATGCAAGTTGGCTATCTTGCCAAACTTGGATTTACTCATGTTCGCTGATGACACAGTGCTTATTTTTCATGGACAAAGCTGGAACGCAGTATTTCAATTGGCTGAGAAAGGTTTAGCTAAGGTGACCTGGTGGCTAGAAGATAGTCTTCTATCACTAAATACCGCCAAGACAAAATATGTTTGCTTTAGTAAAACGTCTGTAGGAAAACCTCCTGCATCTCATGGTCTTAAAATACACACATTTCCATGCAACAGGAGAAGCATACACAAAAATTGTGACTGTGAAATACTTTCGAGTGTTGGTTGTGTTAGGTATTTGGGTGTGACATTGGATGATCAACTTACCTGGAGAGCACATATTATGTCAACTATGGCTAGAGTTAGGAAACTAGTTTATATATTTAAAAACCTTCGTACAGTAGCTTCTGTGACTCTGGTCATACAGACATACCGTGCACTTTGTGAATGTATTATTAGATACTGTATTTGTGCATGGGGGGGCGCGGCAAAAACTCATATGATTGGAATCGAGAGAGCCCAGCGTATGGTGCTTAAGGTGCTTCTATACCTACCTTACAGACATCCCACGTCTTCCGTGTATGAACTGGCAGATGTTCTATCTGTTAGAAAGATATTTGTGTGTGAAATGCTACGAAGATACCACAAAAAAGTTGTTCCTCACTTACCTGTCTCACAAAGACGTATGGAACGCTGCCCTGTTCCTCGCACTAAGTCGACGTTGGCTAAGAGACACTATAATTACTTGGCTCCTCATGTGTATAATAAATATAACAAAATTAGAAAAGTACGTAAATTTAATAATACTAAATTCAAAATAGTTTTATCTGCGTGGTTAAAATCCATAGATTACGATTATGTTGAAAACTTATTAAGGAATTCATGATTTCTATGTAGCACAGGACTAAAACAAGTAAGTAGACATTCACAAGGATACGCACACAGAAACACACACACACACACACATACACACACACATAAATACACTCACACACAGACACACACACACACACACACACAGGCGCGCAATCACGTGCGCGCACAGGCGCATAAACAAGCACACATACATAGATATGCAAGCATACAATGTCAGGTAGGGATTGTTTTTTTTTTTTTTTGCTTCTCTTTTTTTTTTTTTTCATTTTTATTCTTTGTATAAATTTTAATTAACTATATATTTTTTTTTGTATTTCTTCTTTTAGAATATCGATGTAAATACTCTTGCTAATACATATATTGGGGGAAGACACTGGCACCTGCAACACAGTAGATACTAGCGCGGGTGTCAGAGAATCCTGTTATAATTGTACAATATTTATGTCAATAAAGAATATTATTATTATTATTATTATTCATCAACATCAGCTAAAACTTGCATTAACTAGTCTGTAAATCGATACGTGATTTCATTGGTTCCAAAGTTTCAAGGTCCCTATTGGTTACTTTTATTGGAGTATTTTTTGTTGTGGAACTGAAATTTCGTATTGTGCAGTTTTGATTAAGTCATGGCTCATGAATTGCCATACTAACTAGCAAAGTGTTAATTAAAGAAAACTACTAAGGAGTGATGTTAGATCTCATGTTAAGATACTTTAAGTATGTCATCGCATTATACGGTATCATATTATATTATACGGTAACGACCGGATGGCATAGTGGTTTGTATAACGGACTGCTATTCCAAAGGTCGCGGGTTCGATTCCCGCTCAAGTCAAGCATTTGTGTGCATGAACATTTAATGTTTGATTTGGTCTGGGTGTTTCTATGTATAATATGTATATTACAAAAAAAAAGTATGTATGTATTTATATCAGTTGTCTAGTAGCCATAGTACAAGCTCTGCTTAGTTTGGGACTAGATGGCGTTGTGTGAATGTGGTAAAATATAAATAAGTATATAAATATTTAGTAGTGCCTCCGTGTATCGGAGGGCTCGTTAAGCTGCCGATCCCTCTTACCATACGAACCTCTGAGGTAATCGTTACGGGTAGTCACCTACCGTCCTACAATAGTCTATCTACGGAACTTCGATATCGCCTAGTACTTGTGTTGTAGAGCTCTGATGACAGTGGCTCCACGTAAAAAATCGAAGTTCAGCCGTGACGTGGTGGATTAAAAACCGACTCTAAATTAGTTTGGGAAAAGGCTCAGAGGATGATGATCGCATTTAGTAACATGTTGCTTCCTTTCTACATAAACTCAGTTATCTACTTCAATAACGGTACAATCTTTGACAATGAGATGCCATGTGCACTCTAATGCCTACCATATTTGTTATAGCAATTTGCGCTCACGTAAACTGAAGTTAACATAATTTTTATCAAATGAAATAAGTATATTACGTGGAGAACCTGGCACTCAAGCTGAAATGTCTCTTCATAGTTTAAAATAAGAAACAGCTCATATTGTAATGGTTAGAAAGTCCTAATTAGTGCAAATATAAATTTTGTTTTTTACGGTTTGCAGCATTTTTATAGTCAGACTTAAAACGCCTTTTGATAGCATAGCGGTTTGAGAAAATTCTGTAATCCATCTAATAGAATAATTGGTTACACGAACAGGGAAGCAATATATAAGTTCTGAGAATCTGTAGTGCCTCGGTCTTTGAGCCACAGTCACAGTCACATCATTCTGTACGACTAAAAATATCTTTTCTTCATCATCATCATCATCAGCCTTTACTAGTCCACTGTTGGACATAGGCCTCTCCTTAGGAAGGAGGTTTTTGGCCTACTATACCACGCTGGCCAGACGGGTTGGTATAGGGTATGTGTCAAGTTTTCCTTCTCTCTACAGTGCTGTTGTTCTGCGTAGTTTTTTCCCTTAGTTGACTCTTACAACACCCACTAGGGGTGGTGACAATCTGTATTCTCCGTCACCACACGGACGGATATAAAATATCTTTAAGACTTGTTTTACTTCAACACCTCTTCGATGTTTAAAACAATACATACTCATTTAGATACCCACTTACAAACCGATTGCATGCATAACCGATTAATTACTGATTACGACTTACTTAGAATGACCAGCATACCATATATTCAATTCTATTTCGATTAGGGATGCCTAATAGCTAAAGGTAATTTAGGTGGAACCTTGTGATGTAACGTTGACTTATAGTGACTAGACTGAAGCCATACAAGGCTAGACAGCTAGTGACCTGGCCGTAACATGTCTAAATATGTATGTTTGACATTCTTTAATATTTTACGCTGTAGCCATCTAACTGCTAACTTCATATTGTTTAAAAGAGTTAATACAATTACAAAGAAACTACAACCCAAAATCAATAGTAAACTATTTCTTTTTGGTTAATACCTGCGGTCAATCGTCTAGACCCTAAACTGGTGACTTGCAAGAGGTTGGGGTTTGGCGAGGTAGAGCCACTGCTCCTCTTGTCCATACTAAGTCAGCACGTCAATAAAAATAATAATTAAATGTTATTCAACCTTTGAAGTTTAAAGTTTATGCAACGCACCTCTTTAGTTTTAATTTTTTTTTACTATTAGAACCTTAAACTTTTATTGGTGTACTGGCACAAAATTGTGTCAGTAAAAAATGAAAAAGTATTTATGGTTGACGTCAGTTAAAATAATTTGTTTCTAAACATTTAACCTTATTATTTTCAGAAAACAGCGTAAAAATGAGTTATTTAGAAAAGGTCGACAGATACCTGGACTCCCTCAAAGTCGGGAAAAGTAAGTATTTGTTTAATATTTATTTGTAATTTAAGTTGGGGCCTTTACTTATAATTAATTTATAATCATAGTAAATTTACACACCAAATTAATTGTTTTATGTTTGGACTAATATTAAAATATTCAAATTATGAACCTTATATTACTTTTCGTATCCGTGTGGTGACGGACTAAGAATACAGAGTGTCACCACCCCTATTCATCCCGTGGGTGTCGTAAGAGCCGACTAAGGGAGCAAACTACGCAGGACAACAGCACTGCAGAGAGAAGGAAAACTTGAAACAAACCCTATACCAACCCGTCTGGCCAGCGTGGTATAGTAGGCCAAAACCTCCTTTCTAAGGAGATGCTTGTGTCCAGCAGTGGACTGTTAAAGGCTGTTGATGATTGATGATGTTGATGATATAACTTTTCTGCGATACTATATTTATATACAATGATTCTAACAAGTATTATGATCTCCAATCATAGATGTGGGTGTGCACGTGTAGTCATTGGCTGAGCTTAGTGGTTAGTGACCCTGACTGCTAAGCCAGAGGTCGTGGGTTCGATTCCCACCTAGGACAAATATTGTGTGATGAGCAAGGTCATTTGTTCTGTGTCTGGGTGTAATTTATCTATTATAATTATAGCCTCTGCCTATTTTGAGATCAGACGGCCGTCTGTGAGATGTGTGAAATATTATGAATATTATTAAATAAAATTGACTGCAAAATTGTCATTGTTTGCGTGCCATTCCAGTTCTATATTTTATATAATACTTATCTTGTTTATCATAAGGAGATAGTGTTTGAATGATTCTGACTTATTAAAAAAAACTTTTTTTTTTAAATAGATCTGGCAATTAAAGAACCTGTCAAAAACGATAAAAATCTGTAAATTTCAAATTATAAGGATTAGCAATATGAACAAGGGAAATGTCTTTTATAATAAATGTATGTTATAAGAGTGCATGAAGAAGAGTCTTTGCACCCTAAGAATCCCACACGGTAGAACATCAGATTTGGAATACTTTATATTTATAATGTAGAATAATTACCACGTGTATGTCTGTTATCGCGCTATAAAGTACCCTGTTTGTATTTTTTTGAATAAAGTTTTAAAGCCCAAGTAGAATATTACCGTTGTTATTAAATCACAAATTGATCTTTTTTCCTCTTTTCCGCATTAGGAATATATATCCTGTGTCGCGGGGGACTGTTCAACAATTCATGAAACGGACACAAAAAACACCCAGACTCAGAACAACAATTTGTGGATCACACAAAGTGGTGTCCCATGTAGGGATCGGACCGCTTACACCACTACGCCATCCGTGCAATTTTCGACTCGAGATTATGCAGTAACAAATAGTTCTAGTGTTTTTTTAATCCTGTTCCAGGCGCAATGGTGGACTCCTGGTTCATGATGTCAAGTCCTATGCCAATTCTTTCGGTCGTGGTGGCATACCTGATCCTCATTCGCATTGGACCAAAAATTATGAAGAACCGACCACCGTTACAGATGAACAAGCTCATCGCTTACTACAATGCTTCGCAAGTTTTCTTGGCTGCTATGATTTGTTTTAAGGTAATTTATCAATATTAAGATATAGTTCTGAAAAGAGACTAATAGTCTGTCTAGTCGATTAGACTGATACTTAAGTCCCTCAGAATGATTATTACCGCCATTTAATTTAAATTAAAACGGTATTTGCAATAAAAGTAAAAAATATTCAGAAACGGCTTTATAAAACTATACCAACCCGTCTAGCCAGCGTTGTATAGTAGGCCAAATCTCCTTTCTAAGGAGAGGCCTATGTCCAGCGAGGAACTATTAAAGGCTGATGATGTAATGATATAAAACTAGTCAGGAATGTGTGACTTTCGTACGTGTTGGTAAAATATTATTAAGCTATTAAGATGTTTGATTATTTTCACTTTCCTATATTATTGTGCTCTAAATAAAATAAAATAGCAATGGTTAAAAATAAAAATGTTACTAAAATAAAATAACAAGGCGTTTTCTATGAAAATTACAGTTAAGTGAAATAATCAAACCTCTTAATAATAATCTTATATTTTACAACACGTACCCAATAAAGAGTATTCATACATTAGTTTTCATTTAAAAAAAAACAGCTGCTTTTATCTGTGCTGAGTACGTGTTTTAAATGGCTCTGCTCTCTGCAGCAGAGCCACAATCCTCGCTCATTATTTTGTCACCTAGTGTATGTGCAGAAGCAGTGGTATTATTGTCAAGGTTTGACGTACATCATTTTAAGATATAATTGATCGGTATTTATTTTGGTAGCTCTGCGACGGAGCACAACTTTAATTCTCTATCTCTCTCTAACACAGGTCTTGTACACATAGTGTACCTATATGATGGATAGTTATGAGATTAATACCGTTTATGAAGTGAACCATCCTCATTTCATTGAATTGTTGTAATATTTTTAGAACTTCGCTAAAAGTATATAAATTCTTCTGGCGTGGCTGAGTGCCTCTGCTAGGGAGTATGCTCCGCATCCATACTTCCATACTTTTATTATAAATGTGAAAATGAGTCTGTTTGTTACGCTTTGTTGAAAAAAATCGGTTGTCTGTAAAGTCGGTTTACTGACGATAGTTGAACGTGACAACGTCATAAGAAAATACTGATGGAATGGTTGCATTTTTCAAAAATGTATTATTGTATACGAGTAGCAGCTGTCCACGCGGACGCATCGCTCACTCAAGTAGGAGAGAGACAGATATCGAACGCTGCCGAACGCGGAGGCCGATTGTGCCTCTTTGTCGCTCGTTCCGCGCTCTCGCTTGCACTTCACGCCTTAAATGGAACGCCTCAGAGCGAGGTAACGTTTTGAGTCATGTTTTTTCGTGCGTGCAGCCGGCTCCATCGAATTATAAAACGTTGTCACGTCAAAAAATCTCCAATGGAAAGCTACATTATAAGCGAGTAACATAGACTACTTTTTACCTCGATAACCGAGATACACGCGGGCAGAGCCGCGTACAAAAGCTAATATTAAATAGAGCCTTTATCGCCGCAACTCAAATGTTCACGACGCGACGTGGACTACTTTGAGTTAGTATAATTGTTAAAATAAACAGGTACGTAATCAGGTCAACATGATGTAGCATGAATTTAATTTGATTGTGCGTGAAGCAAATACCAACATCAGCTGTGATGTTTTATTACTTTATATTTCTATTGAGTTAATAAAGCTATAAATATTATTAAATATACAAAAAATAAAATAGCTTATCTTAATCTAAATGAGAAGAAAATGGGGTCACCTTACTATTTTTTGGTTTTGTTTGTAAAATTTCATGGTACAATACGACTAAGATTTTTGGTCTCTTTCAACCAATAAATTATACGCTTACAATGTTAGCTGTAGAGAGTTTGCTAAATTATTAAATATCGTGAGAATAAGCATTTTCTAATCTGGCCGATCCCGAGCGTAGAGGACGACGGCGGCGGCATTAGCCATCGACAGGGCCGCAGGCTGCCAGAGAGCGATGCCCTCTGACACACATTGATTAGGCCGATAGGCGTGGGGAAGCCTGCTTTCCCCGGGATAGGGCTTGGCTAGGCGCGGCGTCGATCCGGAGGGGGGGCGGCAATAACATGGTCCGGGTCCTCCCCAGAGCAGGGCGCCTGATACCGGCTGTCGGGGTGGTTTTTAGTGGAAACACCATATATTCTGGCTCCTGCGTCCCCGAGAAGCCGGAGATCCAAAGGGATTTTCCAACCCGTCAACAAAATAAAAAAAAGCATTTTCGAATTAAGTTTACACAGATAGGTAATATTTCATAAATATTTCTTTATTGTTCAGTTTATTTTTAGAAATCATTAAAGCCAACCTGAAAACCAATTACTTTTCATAGTTAGACAAATTATGATGATGAAATTAAGAAATAGAAATTGTTTGTACTGTAGGAATCGGTTATTATTTTTATTCCAATAATCTTACTTTAATTCTCTTAATCTATTTCAAGATATTAAACACACATCACACGTATTCGCTAACATTTTTTTTTTTTTTTTCAATTTTAAATAAGGCAGCAGGAAACTTTTCCAAGTCAGTTAATAAAGAAAAAAGAGAGAAAATACAACAACCAAAATTGAAAGGTCAAAAAATGATCCTAAACTATTATTGTTTTGTCATTTTCCAGGTGTTCACATTAAACCTCTTCAGGGATGGCATCATTTACGCAGGGTGTCGCTATCCATCCAATACTCAAAATCCATGGGTAAAGATTTTCTTGCGTTTATAAAACTGTTACTGCCTTTTGTAACGGTTTGTTTTTTTTTTTTAATTTATGTTCTTTTATTAAAAGATCACTAGCACCGAGGGTAACACCTTGCCACGCCGGGGCACCAGGGACTTCCTTTCTAGGGTATACCTGGTTCCCCGGCTATTAGTACCCGGCGAAGGCGTGCGGTTTTAGTCGGTTCGAGTCCGACATGCCACCGACAGGTGGTATCCGAAGGGAATTCAGCACGGAAAAAAAAAAAAGGGTAACACCTTGCCATATTTGTTTCATTTTAAGCATACAAATGTTTAAAATTTATCTGTAATTTTCTTTTCAGTTGCTGGATTTGGGATGGTGGTATTTCTTTGCGAAATTTACTGAGCTTCTGGACACAGTATTCTTTATACTCAGAAAGAAGGAAAAACAGGTATAGTTATTCTGATTAATTAGGTGTTGATGAAAATATAAATAATATTACTATCCAAAAAGAAAAGTTGCTTAATACGAGTAATCTCGTAAAGTAAGATACTAAAAGCTACCATACATAAGGCCTATGCTTAAATCACACTTACTAAAACTTCATCATCATCATCATTAGCCGAGACGTCCACTGTTTGACATAGGCCTCCCCCTTTTTTTCCTTTGCGGAACTCCCCTCGGATACCACCCACCAGTGGGTGATTATGTCGGACTCGAATCGACCAAAAACCGCATGCCGTCTCCAGGTACCAGTAGCAGGGGAACCACATATACTCTAGAAAGGAAAGCCCTGGTACCCCCACGTACCTCGGGCCATCTACGTCTTATAGATGAACCCTCCTGTGTGGGAACACGGATGTTCTCTTCCTGCCCCTGAAGGGGCGTGCACGCTCCGTAGCGCATCGCGCCGCCACCCACCCCGGCCTGTTTCTGCTAGGGACAGATGGCCTCACCTGTCACCCTCAGGCCTACGCTTATGGAGGACGGAGGTCGTTCTGAGACCTCCGGGGCCTGAGTCGTCTGTCGCGGGTCGGGAGAGTTCTGAACCTCTCCCAGTCCCGCTCCGCCATCACCTTCGCAAGCATAACCTAAGATTTGCCAGAACAACCAATCCTGTGCTGCCAGCACCCAACTAAAACTTAACATGATATACAATATAACGTAACGTCATTGTAGGTCATTGGAGCTCGTGTTTGTGATGAATTTGTTTGTTAAAATGACCCTTGTATTGTAATGCATACAGTATTTAATCAAATAGAGTTATTAGCAAGGCGCGTAAATACAATAGTTTTATCAACGTAGACCAACCGACATTGAAGAGTATTTAATTTGATTTTTATTTTACCATTTAATATTATCTCTTAAAATATTTTTGATTGACAACATTCAAAATGTTGCTTTTATATAAATGTAAAATTTAAGGATAAGTTCCTTGTATAATTAAGTCAAATAAAACCGGTTTTGAGAAGACTGCTTTGCATATATATAAAAACTATATTTAATTACTTGTATGAACTGTGTAAAACTTAGACTCATATAGATTATTCCAATTAAATTTAAATAATTATCTTTTAAACTTGGTTTTACCTAAAGTAGAAATATGCAAGTATGCAAGTCTTATCCCCTTACCTGTCATATAGTTGAATTTATAGTTACTAGCTTTTGCCCGCGATTTCGTCCGCGTGTTGGCCGAAATCAGACTTCGTAGAGAATACAATGAATCAAGATTATAGGTATATTCTCTATACAAACTTGCACTTCTTTTTAAGGGTAGTTTTGAAAAATTAGTAACAACATTTTTTATTAGTATTTACTGTGAGTTTGAAAACGCTACTAACGAAAATGACGAAGTTTCATGTAAATTTACAACCCCCATTTTACACCTTTAGGAGTGGAATTTCTAAAAACATTTTCTAAGTACTCACCTACGTTATCAAAGGAACATTAGTGCAAAATTTCATTTTCCTATACCCAGCGGTTTTAGCTGTGTGTTGATCAATCAGTCAGTGAATCAGTCTATCAGTTTCTTCTATTATAGATATAGACTAGCTGAGACCCGCGGTGTTACCCGCGTTTGTTGTTATAACCGCGGGCAACGCCGCGGGGCGAAGCTAGTCTAAAAAAAGTAGCCTAAGTTACTCCTTATGTCATCAGCTATCTGCCAATGAAAGTCCCGTCGAAATCGGTCCAGCCGTTCCAGAGATTACCCGGAACAAACAGACAGACAGACAAAAATTGTAAAAAATGTTATTTTGGCATATGTACCGTGTAAACATATACACTGTGGCGGTATAGATATCACAAAAAATGAAATAACAGATAACACGGCTCAATATACGTCGGTTAAAATAAAAAAATAAAAAATTAGTACGAAAATACAGAAATGCAAATTTAGAACAAACTAAATACAATAAAATAATTTCCGAATTAGAACACCATTGATAACATGAGTCGGTGAACTGTACCTACACGGCAGCGTCGCAATGTCGGCGACATCAAAACGACGCCGCCGCCGCGAGCCGGGAACTTTACATTCTTATTACCTACCTACCAATCACTTCACTTGCTTTTAAAAATCTATTTATAAAGAATGCGATTTTATTCACGTGTTTATTTCGTGAATGCTCGACTAGCTTCCGACCCAGCAGTACGCGTCACTCCTTGAAAAAGTAGTTACCTTGGTTGTCTCGTAATCTTTGTACCGCCCTTACAAAAATTCGGCAGTCTGTAGGACATACACGATTGACTCCATACGTGTCCGTAAAGCAAAAGATGCGTTTTGATAGAGTTTTCCATAAATTAACATCATAGCAGGATATTCCGCGGCTGTGAAGGTCACTCACGGCATTATGGATGTTGATATCGATAACCCAATAAAATTAAAAGACTGATAATGCACTCAGTTTCACACTACACTACACACAGAACCTAATAGTGACTTTTCAAAATAAAATTAGCAGGACTCCTTACATTACGAAGTCTTGCGCACACGATAACATTAATTGTTCACACCATTGCCGTGTATTATGACGAAAGCAATAAGACTAAACAATTATTACCACAAGAAAACTTCTCTAAACAAATATGTATCTCATAAACAACAACAATATTATTATTACGGTTATTTGTCGTGAGCGCATCTACAAGGATACGGAATAGCATAAGCTCGCCGGTGGCCAAGGGCCGACTGACTGTCCTTACTGGATGAACTAATTAAAAACGCGTGTTCACAGTTCACAGTTCATTTATTCACAAACAATAATATAATTGTGTTTGAATGTATAACAATTCGCCGTAATACAAAAATATTTAAAAATTAAAACAAAAATATAAATAACATAATAATCAAAAAACAAATAAATTTGATAGATTTTACAATATGTCATGCAGAATACAAAAAAAAAACGATAAATTATATTAAGGCATTTCATGATTCAAGAATATTATTCACAATATTTATTATTATTACATAAGTTATTAAGTATTTAATTGCATATATTTTGATTGATAAATTCATTGATGGAATAATAGTTATTTTCCAACAGGAAGGCTCCAAGTTTTTGTTTAAATAAAGAAGTCCTATAAATTACGCTTTTTATGCTTTCCGGTAAACAGTTAAAAAGTTTAATGGATTGATACTGAACACAGTGCCGAGCTATATTCATTCTAGGGTTTATTGTATGTTGAATATGTTTCCTCCGCGTGCTCTCTCTAACTAACCTCTCTTCGTGGGTTTCAACCTCGTGCATATATTTGGATAAGTAACACAATGTTGTCAATATATACAAACAAGGCACCGTCAATAGTCCAAGACTTTTAAAATGTTCTCGACATGATTCTCTTTGGGGAATGCGGACTATAGTTCTTATAGCTCTTTTTTGTAAAATGAACGCCCTCTCTATATTATAAGCGTAACTATTTCCCCACAGTTGTATACTATATCTGAACTTTGACTCTATTAGCGCATGGTAAACGGATTTTAGGATATTTATTTCTACTACTTCTCGAAGGCTCCTAATTGCATAGCATGCTGAAGAGATTGAGGTGTCAATAGATTTTATCTCTTCTTTCCAATTGAGCAATGCATCAATATGAACCCCCAAGAATTTAACAGAATTCACGTATTCTAATCTCTCTCCATTAATCATAACGTCTAATCTATCGTTATTACTAGCTGTCGATTTAAATAAGATTAGGTTTGTCTTTTTTGTGTTAACTATAAGCTTGTTAACTGCAAACCAATCTTGAAAAGTTTCTAGTGCGCCAATTATTTTTACATTTAAGGAACTTAGGTTACTTGCACTAATCACAGCGTTTGTATCATCTGCAAAAACCGTGAGTTTAACATCTGGCTTTTTTACGCTCAAATAGGATAGTAAGTCATTTGTAAAAAGTGTAAACAAAATAGGCCCTAATATGGAACCTTGCGGTACGCCCTTCCTGACATTTAAAAGTTGTGATCGGTGTACTTCTTGACAATTGTTTTCTCCTACCTCCTTAATTTCTACATAAAACTTTCTATTTTTTAAATATGATTTAAATAACTTTAAAACATTGCCCCTTATTCCATAATGTTCCATTTTAATGAAAAGCAGTTCATAATCCACTGTGTCAAAAGCGGAACTCAAATCCAGAAAGATCCCAGCCACCTTGACTTTTTTGTTAATATTCTCTATGACATCATTAATTAAGGTATTGATAGCATCTGTCGTACCGATACTTTTTTGATATCCAAATTGTCGCCGATTTAAAACTATGTTATTATTCAGATGGCTAGTGAGACGGCTTTTAATTAGCTTTTCAAATATTTTCGAGAGTGTAGGTAACACAGAAATCGGTCTGTAATTTTTAGGGTCGGTTTGTAAGCCCTTTTTGTACAATGGTATAATCTTTGCTATTTTCCATTGTTCTGGGAAGATGCTATTTTCAAAGCATTTATTATAAAAATGAGACAGAGGTAAAGCTAAGATCGCGATATGCTCCTTTACTACCGATATTGGCAATTCATCAAAGCCACAAGAATTTTTATTCGGCATATCATTCACAATCTTTATGACTTCATCAGGTGTAACAGCAGTTAACGTCATCTCATTAGTTACCTTATCAGAGCCTTGTTGAAGGTAAAATCTTGCCTGATTTTGATTACTATTTTCTGACGTGGGTGTATAATTAAATTGCCTGGCGAATAAGTTTGCCAATTCTTTAGGATTGTCAACTATTTTCTCATTGGTTTTTATAATTAGCTTTTTCATAACTTTATTATTATTTTTATTTCTATGTCGATTTACAACTTGCCATATTTGTTTACTGTTATTTTTGGCGTTATTTATTTGTTTTGATACCGCATTTCGCTTAGCATTTCTCACGACCTTCCTAAATAGTTTCACATAATTATTTTTATATGAAATTAAACTACTATCAAGATTATTACCACTATTTACACACAAGAATCTTTTCATCTTACTTGAAATTTTTATACCTTTAGTAGTCCAGTTTATGTTCATGTTATTTTTGTTAAGCATTATATTACGTCTTCTCTTTCTAAAAGTAACCTGGAACGCATTATTTATTTTATTTATGAACGTATTAATTCCCATTTTAGTCCATTCATTATTCAAAATTAAATATTTAAATTTGTCATGGTTTTTTTTACAAAAAAAACGCTTTTCTATTATAATACTTGTTTTTCTTAAGAAGCTAGTATTTTTAAGAATTAACTCACAAAACAAGCCCGCATGGCCGTCACCCAACCCATTAAAATCTGTGTCTACTTTCTTAATACATTGCTGGTCTAGATTTGTAATGAAATTGTCTATACACGAGCTTGAATTCCCGCGAGCGAAAGTAACACTATTAACGAGAGTCCTAAAGTTATAGCACCGTAGAAGACTTGAAAATTCGACGTATCTTGCTATCGGACAAGAAATTTATATTAAAATCACCACAAATTAAGCACTTCCTGTTGAAAAAATATTCCAACATTTTTTCAAAGTTTTGTATAAAAGTATCAAAATTTTTATCATAAGGCGTACGATAACAACAACAAATAAACAACCCAGTGTTCATATCCTGTGTACAACATACTTCAAAGGACTCTGGCCTGTATAATTTATTGATCTGTGAACAATTTGTAAACCCTTTATGTGTTTGTCCTAAAATAAGACTACCGCCGCGTTTTTTATTAGGCCTTGTATTGTACGTAGCAACTTTATAGTCAGTTAAATGAAACAAGGACGCAGATGCAGCGTTCAAAAAATGCTCGGTAATACAAATATAGTCTAGCTTTGGCATTATTGATTGAATATAGAGGTCTAACTCGTCTTTTTTGTTAGTAACGCCACATACATTTTGATGAAAAACGTAAATACTAGTTATTTCACTTATATTATTACTTTTTGTGCCATCCTTAGAATGTTTTAAATTTAAAAAACTGTCATTTACGAAAAAAATCACATTCAGTTTCTGTATTGCATTCTGTCTGTGTTTGAGCATCCACAAATAAATTCTTAGGACACGGAATGTCATCAGTCTGTACAAACACGTTGTTATAACACTTTTGTATCTCTTTGCAAGAACCTCGAGTTGAGTTAGAAACATAAAGAAAATATTCATTTTTGTATTTCAAACGCAGTATTTCTCTGTGTATATATCTGATGGCATGTAATTTATTGAAATACTGTACAAAATTTTGACCAATGAAACTTACGTCCAGTGTGACAAAAAAAGTATTCTTCAGATTACAACAGATTAATTTTAACTGGTTATTTAACATGGACACATTTAAAAACTTATTTTTATAAATTTTACCTATTAAAATATTCGTATTTTTTATTTGATTTAGTGTATAATATAAAACAGATTGCAATTCCATTGGATTGTCATCGTTTGAACCACCCCAAACCAAAACATTTGCATCGTGATGACGTAATAATCAACATATTTCGTTCGATTCGGGTGTAGTAAAAGCGGCAACGTGTGATTACCGCGCCGCGCGGCGTACAGCTGATCGCCGCCTGAGATCAATGTATTATGACTGCATGTACACATGATGTTGCAATTTACGAAACACAAAAATGAGTCCTGTGGCTAAACTACTGGATATATTATATGCATTTAGTAAAAAGCGGTTATTTTAATATTACAAACAGACACTCCAATTTTATTTATTTCTATAGATTATGGTTTATTTAAAAGTTAAGCCTAAACGTAAACCCTCTAACTGACTTTTTACCAAATCAATGCATTTGTCCATGACTAATGTCGTCTGGTTAAAATCGCAATCAGCAACAAAAATTTTTGAATATTCTTTTATGATGTATGTGTCAATGGTATACAATTACAGAGAAGACTGTATTATATTCTATAGTTCCCAATTATCTGAGCCTCTCATAATTTATTTAAACATTTTCAGTCTCGTCATTAATAAGTCTAAAATGTATAATTTCAGGTGACGTTCCTCCATGTATACCATCACGTGATTATGGCCCTCTATTCCTGGAGTTATCTCAAGTTTGCAGCTGGAGGAGAGGGGGCTGTGCTTGCTCTTTTAAACTCCTTCGTCCATGTTGTTATGTATTCCTATTACTTGCTGTCAGGTCTGGGACCCAGGTTTCAAAAGTATTTATGGTGGAAGAAATACGTTACTAAGTTACAGTTGGTAAGTAGAGATTAGTTACTTTTTAATTTATTGGACATATTACTTTGAAAGCTTTGTCCAATATAGTTAGTCGAAAAAATTGTGCAGGGAGCTTTTTAATTTAAGTACCAAATATATTTAGAAGTTGATTTGTATCTAATCACATGAGGATTTGGTAAATATTTTCCGTTTGTTTTTTACAGATTCAATTTATGTTAATGCTTGCCTACTGCAGCTGGACACATTTTTCTCCACGTTGTCAATACGCATCTGGTTTTACTTATTTCATCTGCTCAAACATTACAATTTTCCTATTTCTTTTCCTCAATTTCTACTATAAGAGCTACAAAAAGAGTAGAACGGAAAAAGAAATCAAAGATGAGTATGAAAAAGCTCATAATGGTGCTCAAACTAGTAAAAATGGGGTCTGTAAAAACGGAGTCAAACAGAAGAAAGAAAATGGAGTGCATGCATGTGTTTGTAAAACCATTTCAAATTTAGAAGATGACGTTCCTTATGATATTAAAGCAGGAGGAGATTACATTCATGATTCAAATTTCATCTTATCAAGACGTACAGGTAAAACAACTTATGGTGCGGAATATGACTTTGATAGTATAATAAAGAAATGATTTATCATTTTTAAAGACCTACAACTAGCGGTTTTATTGAGACTGATGTATGTGATGACATTGGTATTGTTAAAGTCTTAAGAAATTGTGGAGTTTAAATAATAGTTAAGTATGCTTAAGTATTCGCTTCACTAGGACTCTCTCAAATCTATAAGGACCATCTTGGTGCTATCATTTGTTGGAGCCGTTAATTTACAGGTGGAGGTCAAAATTACAGCATATCGTAGTACGTATTGCAAAATTAATGAATTTAAAATAATTATGGTACCAGTGAGAAAGACGCTTTAAATTTACAATAAATTGCCAACCGCACAATTGTTTAAGTAGATTTTAAGGTTAAGCATTTGCTGTAAATATGATATTATAAAGTATAGTCGTGCACCTATTCGATGAACATCTAAGTTTTATTCAGTTTGAGACCTTTGCTACATTGGAATAAGGCATAGAATAGAACCCTAGCATTTTAAAGTAGGAATTCGCTTTGGTGATCTATTTGCAACATGCAAAATAAATGTGAAATGATACTTGAGACATAATACGTAAAAGTAAAGCTTTTATAACAAGTTCCTTTTGAATTTTTGTTTCTGAACAAATATTAACATTCTTATATATTGTATACAACCTGAGGCTAGCCTATTCTTTAAGTAATTTACTTTATTAAGATGAGTAGCCGTCCAAGGTCAGGATCGCTATTGGTGATATGTGTAATAAGGTAATGGACCAAGAAAATAAATCTTCGTCGCGTGTTGCAGTATATCATATATATTTTCTTTTAAGTAAAATTTAATGTAATTGATTTTTAATTTTTGGTTGCAACTCTGGCCCTTTGCGGTGAAGCATTAATATTAGGCGGTAAATGGTAGTGAAGTGTTTACTATACTATAATTCTTGTGATCATATCTTCTAGAATTTAAGCTTGCATATTATGTTGCTATAGGAAATTATATTTTACATAAGGACACATTATAAACCATAGCTGACAAATGTAACCGGGTGGATTGTAATTCTCATTATTTTTTTATCAACTATTAAGATAATACATTAATTTATATAACAATAAATGGTACATACGTATGTATATTATATATTTAATATCTGTTCTGTCTAACATTACTCCGGCCATTAACTAAGTTTAAATAATATATTTGTGAGTTTGAAATAATTTAGACTACAGTTTACTTTGTATACAATGAAATTGATTTGCTTGTGCTAATTCAGCTTGAAGTAGCTCGGGCCACATAAGGCAAACAAGTAAAAGTTTTGATATTTTAACAATAAGTTTTATAAATTGTCTCAATTTCTCTTATACTAATTATTAGAATAACATTGAAATAAATGGTTACCGAATGTAGACAACAGATTTAAGAAGAAGTTTAGTTAAAATTGTAAGTTTACAGTTTACAACTCCTGAATGAGCAATGTGTACCCCAAGTCTGGGTGCCAGTGCCTTAGTGCCTTGATCGGTCTCTTTGAAAGTTATGGAAGAAACCATAGGTTGTCCTTTTGGTAACTTTTCAGTTGTTGAACAAGTCTTATGAAGTTGGTCAAAGGTTTCAAGGAACCTTATTTTTTCTGTAAAACTACTTTTTAATTAGTATATTTTATTTGTACTTTTAATGCAATTACCAATAGTACAAAATAACGTTAATTTTAAGGAACTAATAAAGTTAAAACAATATTGTTTGGGTTTTATTTTGACTTTGGTTAAATAGATCACGCTTTGTAAAGGTCAAAGTTATGGTAAGCAGTACTTTTCCGCTGAACAACAAATTGGTTAAAATAAGATACGTTATTTATTAGGCGGGTAAGCTAAACGCAACAGGTCTGAAATGGGCTAGCTATAACACGGTGTTCTGGCGGAGGCTATCGTTGTTTCAGGGGCAACTTTCAGACTTAGCTTTTCAGGGATATAACTGGTCCAGAGTATGTTGAGCCTAGTGTCTGAATGTCCAGGAAGTCATAATTTCCAGATGTTATAAAGACCGTTAAATATGTACAAATCAAAAAAGTTGTAATGACAGGACCGGGTAGCACGATCACGTTTATTAACCGACATAAAGCATACGTCCCTCTCATACTTGGGACGAATGCTTTAAGTCAGCGAATAAACGTGATCGTGCTAGCAGGGCAGATGTTATTTTTAGGTACTCATGGTATTACGGCTCCTGAACCAAAATCGCAAAAACTGAACTCTTATAGTTTTGTCACGTCCGTCCGTATATCACAGGCATTTTACTGAAAAATGTGACATAAAGATACGCTCTTTTGCTGATGTATTCATCATTTCATTACTAGTGCATTTCTTGAAACTTTCTTTGGAAAACTACACAGCATGGTTCGTATAGACGTTTTAGCAATTTGTTTTTGACACCTTTATATTATGAGAACTGGGCATTTTATCAATTGGATGCTTTGATAACAGGACATTCTGACAATTTGACTTTTCAACAATTTCTATTAAAACTAATGTTTATTTATCCAAAAATCTGAAATTTTGAATATTTGTAGTTAAACTACTCCTTATAACATAGGTGCCGAAATTATAATTTTTTTCAAAAATTAAAACCCCTCCACCAATCGCTTGAAAAAAAGATCACTTTTTGCAAAAAGTTTACAACATTTTGTCCTGAAAATTTTACTGTAGTTACAAGTTTACAACGTTGGCTACATATAGAAATTTCAATTCTCTACCACTTTCCGAACGCGAGTTAAAATTTTGTAAAATGGGTGCAATGCAACATGGGTTTTTGCAAGTTTCGGGCGATCTTATCGTCCGATTTTGTTCTTCAGTTGTTCATTTTCTTTTTTTTTTATTGTGCACATTTATCACATTCAACTTATTTTCGTAGGAGCTTTAGTTTTCGCTCCAGATGCGATAAACTTGTTTTTACCATTTTTGACATTTGTTTTGCCACTTTAGCTGACAATATTTGGGTATAATTTTCATTGCAATCAATTCCTGATAGTTGAATCTTAAATACAATATATTTTTCAGGAATATTTGGTAATTTCCGGAGGTGGGCGTTAATGGCTGCAACACAGTTATGAACTATAGCAGTCATTATCAACCATATTCTACTGTGAAATTTGTTACTTTTAGTTACAAAGAATAAACTTTTTATGTTTTTTATGTTTTAATTCTACCTGTCTTACAATGGAACCACACTCAGACGCTTTCCATTACATAAAATATGTATTCACATTATGTTTAAAATCGCTACCAAAGCTTTGAAAAATGTACATAAAACACATAAATATTGGCCACTAATAAGTGCCACGCCGCTTCCTGTTGTGGGTTCCAACCCCTCATGGGACGACACTTTGTGTGATCTAAAAATTGTTGTTCTGAGTCTGGGTGTTCTTTGGGTTCGTTCCATGTATGTTTGTAGAGTCCCTCGTGACAGAGGATATATTTCTAATGCGGGCGTTGTCTTTTTTAATAAATAACAATAAAATAAATAAAATGGAAGTGTCTGTTTGTTATGTCAAAATAATAGATTTTTTTTCATTCTTACACGGTTATTTGCACGATACCTATGCCTAAAAACAAGGTTAAATATTTTTTATCTGTCTGTCTGTATGTGCCGGGTAATCTTCAAAACGGCTGCACCGATTTTGATGATATTTTACTACTCGGTAGCTGTCTATATAAGGAGATCACCTGGAAATAAACCCACTAAGGCGCGAACGTAGTTGCGGACACCAGCTAGTATACAATAAGATGCTATGTTACACGAATCTCAGTATTTAAACATTGACGTAATTGGAACCATACAAAACTGCATTAAAATGTTTGAGAAAACTGTGTGTTGTCGTCATTCCATCATTAAAGCTGTTTGAGTTAGGACATTTGTATTTTTAAGTTTTTAAAGATAATATTGTTAAAATGATAACTGTTGAAAATGTCGATTATGAGATCGTGAGAAATGAGTCTTTTTGGGATTTCAAAGGATACTGTAAGTATTAAATTTACTTTGAAGCGGTTTTTTTATTACTGTGGTTTAGTAGTGTTACTTCAATCATGAAGAAATAAATTATGGTCTAACAAAACTAAAAAAAACACACTGTAACTAGCCGAACTAAAAAGTAGAAAATAATTTTGTTGTAAAAAAACGTGAGGTGCTTGATCTCAATTGTTGTAAAAATATTTCATTGACGGATATTATTAAAAGTAAACTTATTATGTTATAAAATATTTTGAGAAGCACCCCACGCTTTTTACAATACATTAATATTTCTTTTTCAATTTTTTTTTTTTTTTTTAATTTATTTATAACTTTATAAACATTTGTACATCGGCGGTCTTAATGCCCAAGGTATTCTCTCCCAGTCAACCTTTATGTAGTAATTTATACTTTTTAATTCGGTTAGTTACTAAAGCGTGTTTTTTATTTTTTTAACTATAATTTATTTTTGTTTTTTTTAGTCATTAATGATAATTATTTTCACATTAAGACTATAAAAGTAACAAGTAAGACACATATGCTTCAGCACACACCTCTTAGCACTCAGCAAAACGTCGCCCTAGTGCTTATTTGTCCTATCAACCAATTTATCGAAAATTAGATTATTATTTCACACCTGTTGGTTAAGGAAGTTTTAAAACTTTTTGCTTTTAAAACAACAAAAAAGTTTTTGAATCTTATTTATGATACGATACTGTAATGGAAATATTGTGCTCATTTGTTCTATGTTCAGGTTTTGTTCTATGTACTACGTCGTAAGAGTTATTGAATGCTTGAGTATCCTTAGTCTACTCAATAGACCAATCACAGCCCATCAAACCATGTCCGCCATTTTGTATAATTTGATACCGTAGTTAGCGATATCACAAGAGACGTTAAAATATTGATTAAATCAAAAGTCATCAAAAGTGTTTTGTGCTTAGATATTTTTTGGACAAGTATCTAATAATGTCTGGAACATATTACAAAAGTAAATATGAACAGATGCAAGCTCAAATTGATTGAGTACTTTTAATTTACCCTCAAGTCCGTTATGATTTGGCAACAGGTGTTGTTTATTTTCTTACTTCGCACGCTGATGTTCAAAAAAATTGCCTGTACGATTTTTTTAAATTGTTTTCCATGAAAACCGTGTCACAGAAATCGTAATACTAATTATTACGATTTCTATAAACCGTGTTCTGACAATAAAGTATGCAACAAAAAAAAAATTATAGTTCGTTTGTGCATTATTGCCTTGTCTCCATATAAAATAATCATCATCATCATCATCAAATAATGTATATTTAGTTACCATGAGTAGATGAAATTTTAACAATCAATTTATTGGTATCTCATATATTAAGAAAGACTTGAAAGTCAAATCTTGAAACTATGGCGTTTTTTTCAGTAAAGCAAAAAAATACTTAGTCCTGTAAAATTCACCCAATGGTAGATAGGACAAATAAGCACTTAAGCGACCAAGGAAGTGTATTTCGTCGCTTAAGTGCTGTCCATGAGAGCCGTGCTCCTTCACATATAGGCCAGGCTTGACCGCAGCGATACACAGAAAACCGGCAGGTTTTTCGTTTATTTTTACCCAGTGATTGAGGTTACCGTAACCTAAACCCCTTTCGCCCCTCTCATTGGAACGGAGGGACTCAAACGATAGCATTTGTGACTCTTGAGTTGCAAGTTTCCTTGGGCAGTATTAGTCACTTACCATCAGGTAGCCTGTATGCTCTTTTGCCCCCTTATACCCCAAACTTCTGTGTGAATGATGATTTGTGATGTTAGAGAGGGGGTGTGAGAGAGGGGCTCGAACACATCAGTCTATGGATTGGTGACCATTCTTAGCACAACGAGACCCCTCCATGCCTTGAAGAGCACGTTAAGCCGTCGGTCCAAGTTGCCATATGAACATCTAAAGCAATCGTTACGGGCAGTTGGGGCATTAGAAAGTCTGACACCTGTCATTCTACAGAAGTTAGATATCGCCCAGTTCTTGGGTAGTGGAGGTCTGATGGAGGAGGTACGTTGTAGACCTCAAGCTGACCCCAACCTAGATTCGCATAAAAGGCCTTGAGAAAGATGGTGATTTGTAATGATGTATATAGAAATAACTCTCGCTCCCTCTCTCCCTCAATTTAAGGGCCAGACCCTTGTCGGTGGAGCAATCGCCTCTATTTTCTGCGATCTGTTAGACCTCTTGATAGGTCACAACTTCCACTGTCTCCTTGACCAACAAAAGAATTGGTCATTTATATTGTTATTCTATAATTTTATATATTTGTGTCTGTGTGTGTCTTTGTATTCACTATGTTGGTTATGTTACAGTAAAATAAAAAATAAGAGAAACTATTTGTGTTTAAATATTAAACTATTTCTCTACGTTATAGGAAAAGCGTTCTTTTATTCTTATGCTTCCAATAAATACGGTTTATCTCACGCGTGTGTGCGGGATAAGTGTCTCCCTCTTTATATGATCCAATTTACAATGACAACCAAATTGGTGAATTAAAAAAAAAATACATAGCTAGATCGATTAATCGCTCCCGAACCCCTCTTCATACTACATTTCATTATATATATCCATATATATAATATATAGGGCTGAGAAGCTAAAAGTTGTTGCATTTGCATCGTCAGTTAACAGTTACTCATAGAAAGAAAGAAAGAAACAAGAAAGAAAGAAAATACGTTTATTATTCACAACACAAACACAGCCAAAAAGGAATTACAGATATAACATAGAAGAGAAAAAGAAAAGAAACAATTTGCTCAACTGAAGAATAGCACAAACAATAACAAAAATAAACAAGTACAAAAGAATACAATGATCACTGTGTGTGACTAAAGGGCCACAACTCAGCCTATGCTATAGTCCCTAAAAGTGACCACAGCGCTGATTTTCAGCTGAAGCCCAAAGGTACCTCACGGACGTGTGCACAGTTCAATTACAATAAACAATATGTGAAAACAATAAACATACAAATAAAAGTGATAATTACATACATTAATTACATAACATACATTCTGTTAATATAATAAAGATATCAAATAAATAGTTAGTTGGAAATTGATAGATATAAGAGCAGAGAACAATTTTTTTTTATTTATTAAATAATGTTAGCAACATTGCGAGGACTAATTCTACAATTACAAGGTGCTGGATTTTCGGACGGTTAAAAGCAATACCTTTACTTTTGATTTAAAAGTTTTACAACTCACTCATTATCTATACTAATAACACTACTACTATATACTAATACAGATTTTTTTTTAAAACAAAGTCATTATTATTAAAAAAAGTAAGAACGAAGTTTGTTACTCATGACTCTTTTTCTTGATAATACCTTGCCGATCCCGACTACCAAGATTTATAAAGAAGATAAAACACGATCACTAATGCATTAAAAGCAAACAGGTTTTTTTTAAGTAGATATGCCTTGCTCTGACGCAAATAAGTACGTAACAATTGGACACACATGATTATAAAGATCGTATGATAATGTTTCAGTTTTATTTTAAAAGCTATGTAATTAATTATGTCTTAAAGACAATAAGTATTTCTTTTAAATGTCCAATTAAATAATTATTGTTCTATTGTTCTTCTCTGATCAAGATGTATCTGTTTCAAAAGATGCCCCTCAAGATAAGACACCAAGTTATTTCCTGAATTCTATACTTACTGGTAACAGTTTCTCTGGGTCATTGACAATTGAGTCTTTATAATGTGAGCTCGGGCAAGAATTAAAATAGACAAACGACAGATAAATTTTGACGGTTTACGGTGTGTTTTTGTAATCAATATGGTGTAGTAAAACTGAAAGAAACACTACACAAAACTTATACGAAGTTTTCATTTATACGGACGTTTCCAAGACAAGTTCAGGAACAGGCGCCACAAGACATAAACAGGAGCCATAAGACTTTTATCACAAGACATAAACTTATCACCGGCATTACTATATGCGAATATATTGTAAATTCATGTAACGTTGGTTTAGTGCCTTTAGAGCGCTGCCGCAATAAAGACAATTTTCAAAAGGTATTGAGGAATTTAACATCCGCAGATTATCAGACAGTAAGACCGTTCTAAAACTCTGGTATGGTCTTCGAATGTTATGAAACGTTGGAGCAGCTGGCCAAAACAAATCAGATACTTCTGCAATTGATTAAATGGTGAGATGGTAAGGAGAGGCCCGGCAACACCGGTGGGCGGGCTAACCATATTTCTGCCCACTGCGCTTTAACCAACTTCGCTCCTGGGTAAGACAACGGACTCTTGAAGTACACAACCGAAGCTGGAAAAACAACTGGTTGCAGGCATTCCAAATTCTTACTGACTGAAATCTTAACATGACTTACCTGCACATTAATCAGTTTTAGCAGTCTAAATATCCGATCATCTGTAGGAATTATTGCGGGGCACCTAGCACTGAGCCAACAACTAATTACCATTCTCTTGTCTCGGGGCAGAAGAAATAGCAGTCCTCGTACTCCTGGAACAATGTACAAGGTGTGTCACACACAAAATCGCACCTAAAAGTCTGTTAATTGGCTCACCCAGCCTTACTTTAACATGTAAATAACCGTTTTTGAGTCTACAATTTTTATGATATGGGGGGGCAACTGAGCTGTCTGGTCACCTGATGTGGATGCCGCTAAAGACACCTTTTTTTTTCCGTTCGGAAATCCCCTCGGATACCACCTGTCGGTGGCATGTCGGACTCGAACCGACTAAAACCGCACGCCGTCTCGGGTACTAATAGCCGGGGAACCAGGCATACTCTAGAAAGAAAGTCCCTGGTGCCCCGACATACCTCGGGTCATCTACAGACGAGTAGACGACCCCCCCCCCCCGTGTGGGAACCCCATGTTCCATGTGCTCCCTGGAAGCGAGCGCGCTTCGCAACGCGCTCGCCGCGACCCCGGCCTGCTTCTGCTAGGGTGACAGATGGCCTCACCTGTCACCCCCAGGCCTGCGCTATGGAGGACGGAGGTCGTTCTGCGACCTCCGGCGCCTGAGTCGCCTGCCGTACCTGGCCCGTTCCCGGGCCTGGCGGGCCGGGAGAGTCCTAAACCTCTCCCGGTCCCGCTCCGCCGTCTCCTTCGGCAGAAGGAGACGGCAGAGTTCCACGCACTCTCGCTCCGCACGATAGCCGCAATCAGACTATCGAGCGAGAGAACTCCCACTCCGATGGCCGCCACTAGGTCTCGCCTCTGCTCAACCCACGCCGGGCACTCTGCCAGCGTGTGGAGAGCCGTGTCCACGGTCTGGCCATCGCAGTGGTGGCACTCAGGCGTTGGCTCCTTGCGGATCAGACACAGGCGATCCCCGAAACATCCTTTCCCAGTGATCACCTGCGTCAGTCGGTATGAGAGGGTCCCGTGACGCCTCTCGAGCCAATCCTCCATAACGGGTCTTACCGCCGCGATGACGGCGTGCCCGGTGCTCGGTTGCCCGAGTCGTTCCCTCCACTCCCCTATGATGACCCGGCGGAGTTGGGCTTTCCGGTCATCGATTTCTCGAATCTCGGGGCACCGACCCAACTCCAGCGCCTCCTTGCGGCTCTGTATCAGTGGCTCTCGCCTCCAGGTCCCACGGTGGAGTTCCGGCCAGGAGACTCGCCGCCTCAAAGGAGATCGTGCGGTACCCCCTTATGATCCTGATGGCCAGCACTCGCTGCGGTCGTCGCAGCATCGCGACGTTGCTGGCCTTCAGGGCCCCCGCCCATACTGGGTACCCGTAAAGGGCCATGGACCGCACAACCCCCGAGCAGAGTCCCCCTAAAGACACCTGAAACTCAAATCACAAGTACGGGAATAAGTGGTTGGGGTCCTCCGTTAATTACACTTACTCGATGAAAAGATAGAATTGTGTTGTGAGGCCATGACTAAAGACTGAAAAAGAACTCGCAGTAAAATTAAGAGTCCCTAAAACTGACACATCTCTAATATTTTACTTAGAGCAAATATGTGGATCAATTCGGGTAAAGGTATAAGTTTAAAAATAAGCATTGAAAAAATCGATTCGTGGCAAGTTAGTGAAAAAAATGGAACGTATGCGAACTGGTTTATTGAAGAGATAATGCAGAGTAAAGCCACATCTAGAGATGTGGCTTTAAGTGATCGAGCCGATCGGAGTTGTTTGGGCTATCGACGATTCGAGTGGCCCTTCGTTGGATAACGGGTTATCTTTTGCGGTATTTCCAGACCGATACGACCTTCAAACCTTTAAGAAAAGAACGTACTCCTTTCTAAAAGGCCGTCAACGCGTTTGTGACTCTTGAGTTGCAGACGTTCATGGGCGGCGATGGTCACTTTCCATCAGGTGACCCGTCTGCTCGTCTGTACCTACAGCATTCAAAAAACATTAAAAAGAAACACTTCCAAAGTGGTAAAAGCTAATTCCGCCTTATGCAATGTATTTGCAGAAAGTATAAATAAATTAAATGTGCCCCCCCCCCCCCCGTAACTTCTAAAATAAGAGAATGATAAAACTATAAAAAAATATATGATGTACATTACCTTGCAAACCTCCATCGAAAATTGGTTTGAACGAAATATAGTAAGTAGTTTTTTTTAATACGTCATAAATCGTAAACCGCAATTTACCTTAGGTACAATACAATTTCATTTACTGTAAGTAGCTGTTTATATAAGGAGTAACTTAGGCTATTTTTTCTCTCAGAATCACCCTATAAAATTTTGTCCGGTCCGGGAAACGACTTGAGGCCTAATGGACTGCAGGCGCAGCATTATTTCTTAGTTTATAAGTATTTTATTTTCTTATTGTTATCAGAAAGAAAAATAAATATTTGAAAATTTCAGCTGACGCTGTTGACAGCTGGCCCTTCATGGCATCACCATACCCGATGATGGCGATTACCTGTTCATACCTTTTATTCGTATTAAAAATTGGACCAGCCTATATGAAGAATCGTCAACCATACCACTTACGTAACATTATCGTGGCGTATAATTTTTGTCAAGTGGGAGTATCGGTGTATGTGGTTTATTTGGTAAGGATGTACATAAAATAATAGTTAATTACTTTTTTAAATTTAGAATAAAAAAGGTCAATGATACAATTACACATCGATATTCAATACTATAATAAATTGATTAACTTGATAATAACTCAAATATTTTTGATTGAGTAAGCCATTACAGTGCATTTTAAACGTTAGTAGTATACAAATAATAATCATATTAATTATACGACTCTGATGACTTAATTGAAAGGTCATAAATGTCATATACATACATTTATATCCATATTGAAAGACCTAATAATATAATCTATATATAAAATAATATAACATATCGGGATCTGGGACCCATATCGGGATTCATAACGGGATCTGCTAGAAAAGACTCATGCAAGAAAAACTAATGGGTAATGAAAATTCCACAACTTGGTAGCAACTATGTAATAATAACGTTGAATGAGCGTTTTATAACTATCGTACGTAAACTAACACAATCATGTAATACGTCTTATGTGTTCGCGTAAAACGAAACGCAAAATTTTAGATGTGAAACTTTGAAAAACTCATATTTTTGGATATTTCACCCCTAAGGAGGGTAAAGTAAGGGATGAGCGGTTGTATGGAAGTTCATCATTTTTAAAGTTAGAAAGATGAAATAACAAATAATCCCTTGAGTGAAGATGCGGGACATGGCTAGTTAAGGCATAAAATTAACAAGCCTTGCTGTAGTAGCATAGGACGCGTCATCATCATCAGCCTATCGCAGTCCACTGCTGGACATAGGCCTCTCCAATTGCACGCCACTTAGATCGATTAATTAATTAATTATAAATAAATTACCTACGCGCGATTTAACGCCCTCTTGTTACAGACTTCCGTCCTTTTCTGTGAAATCACTCGATTTGATCGCGGGAATGCAAAAACTTTCTTTTTGCATTCTCGCGATCAAATGGAGTGATACTCGTATCTCATATAAAAAATGGAAGAACGGTTTCCAAATATTTAGATCAGACTTTAGTTAAGACTCCAAACATCGATTTTAGGGACGATAATATCCTTAGATAAACCCTTTTTTAAAAAAAAGTTGAACCGACTTCAAAAAACACCGACAAAGAGCACTAAAAATTAAAAAATAATTACAAATCTAAGTAAAAAACTATAATAAGTACCCTCAATGTAACAGGTAACATTATAATACCAATAGTCCCTTCTAGTCAGTTTGAAGTCGGTGCCAAGCCAAATAGGTGCTTGATAGGCATGGTAGAATGTAGCGCGGCAGCTGCAACAGTCTTCATGCTGCGCAAAACATGATGAACGAGCTAAAGTGGACGCACATCTCCAATTATATTATTATTTTGAATTCTTTAATAAGTAGTTGATAAGTTTGCGCACGTAATTGATCTGGTTGGTCTTTATTAATTAACAAAATCTTCGATGTTTCATTAGAATTATTTTGAATTCTTAATTTTTCATTGTGCCAATATAAAGCTGACATAGACCAGTATTACTTATTGTACATCGAGCTTGGCACCGACTTCAAACAGACTAGAAGGGACTATTGGTATTATAATGTTACCTGTTACATTGAGGGTACTTATTATAGTTTTTTACTTAGATTTGTAATTATTTTTTAATTTTTAGTGCTCTTTGTCGGTGTTTTTTGAAGTCGGTTCAACTTTTTTTTAAAAAAGGGTTTATTTTACCATTTTTAGTGTAGGATATGAAAATGACATTGGCGTCCAAACTGATCAAGATCAGCTTAAATTCTTTTCTAAGAAACAGTCAAATTCTTGTGAGTTGCAACCGAACAAAATAACTTCCGATTCAATTGACACTGATCTCGAAGGTGAAGATAGGGAAGCTTTAGTGAGACTACTCAACAAATATGCTCAATATTTTATAGAAGGAGTTCCAACTAGAAGGGTTAATACTAGTATGTTAGAAATTAACCTAGTTGACCCACCCAAAATTTAAGAGTTTTTTCCAGAACTATTTTAATAAATTAAGTATAAAATTACTTACAAACGAAATGCGATGCCATCCATAGCAACAAAACGTCTATCCGAATTATTTTAACAAGATAGAATACAAAATTTCAACCTTTTCTTCTTAATACAACGAAAATTACTGTGGTGACATAAATACTGCAAGTTCTCTGCGCATCACATCGCGCAGTCTCTGACAGTTGCCATGGTTTGTTTGGCTAAAGAAATACTCGTAGCTAAAACACGTTGTCGGGGCTGTCAAATTCCCAATAATTGTGAGGGTTTCACTCGATTTCTCTAGGATCCCATTATCAGATCCTGAATCGGTGGTAATGGGACCAATTCGGGAGCATACCCTTTCGATTACAAAAAGAATTTTGAAAATCGGTCCACAATTGACGAAGAAATCGCGTAACAAACATACATAAAAAAAAATACAGACGAATTGAGAACCTCCTCTTTTGTGTTTTGGAAGTCGGTTAAAAAGAAAACATACTGTCGAATCAAAAACCCTCCTTTTTTGATGTTGGTTAAAAATCGACTAGCATGAAGCTCCTAGTCGAGACGAATCAAATGAGCACAAACACGGCTGAATTGCTTTATTTTATTACATAGTTCCCATGGCTATTTACCGTCTCCATCATCAGACCCTGAATATCACATAGGATCGGAGTTCTTATTAATTAGACTCAAACACATTCAAATTCGATGGTATTACATAATTTTGTTACAAAGATCCCATACTCCTAAACCATTCATCAACAGCTTCATCATCAGCTCAGCAACATCAGATGGTGACCATTAGATGCAAAAATCTACATAGATTAAGATAATTTCTGATAAACAGTGTATATGCCTACAAAATTTGAGGGTTTCCCTCGATTTCCCCAGGATCCCATCATCAGATCCTGACCTGGTGACAATGGGACCACCTCTGACGTATGGCCTACCAAATAAAAAAAGAATTATTCAAATCGGTTTATAATTGCCGGAGTAATCGCGTAACAAATATACAAAAAAAAAAAAAAAAAAAAAATACAGTCGAATTGAGAACCTCCTCCTTTTTTTGAAGTCGGTTAAAAATAGGTTTTGGCTTACTACAGACTGGTAGGTTTAGGGTTTATTTCAAGTTTTTCTTCTCTTTGTAGTGCTGTTGTTCTGCGTAGTTTTCATCAAGATCTTCTGGTAGAATATAACTTATTAAGCCTGGAGTTTAGGCGCAAACTTCTGGTGTGTATGATGTTACTTAGCATTTTGACTGCACGGATGGCGTAGTGGTTTAAGCGGTCGCCACGCCGCTTCCTACTGCGCCGACTGTTGTGGGCTCAAACCCCACATGGGACGACACTTTGTGTGATCCACAAATTGTTGTTCTGAGTCTGGGTGTCCTTTGTGTCCGTTTCATGTATGTTTGTAAAGTCCCCCGCGACACAGGATTTATTCCTAAAACAAACAAATATGTGGTAATAAGTTCGAGTGCAGCGGCATTACTAATCAGTTGTGTTATGTGTGGCCCAGAACTATATTGAGGCCCGAGATGCGTGTACCTCCGAGGTTCCACACTGGTAAATGCAGAACTAATGTCGGTGTACGTGTTCCTCTCCGTCACATTGTGGAAACGTACAACACACCTTGCCAATGTTAACATTTTCCCCACACAATACTCAAAATTGCAGCAACTCAAATCTTTAAAACTTCACATTATTCCACAATCTATATAATATAAACAGAAGAAAATGTAAAATACGCACGATTTACTCATCATTACTTTACTTTATATATTATTACTATATAAATATATATGTATTATTTCGTGGACATTGGTGTGGGTTGCACGTTCACTCAATAGATTATTTACTCTGCACCAGACGCCGGATGGCAATCATCGACCTCCGACCGCCTTAGGAAGTGGCCTGCGGGCGACGATTGTGGGGAATTCGTCGTCAAAACCGATACAGGCCTGATAGGCGTAGCACAGTGTTCCATGTGGGCTTCTAGAGGACTACGACCGAAGGGTGCCGGTTGCAACGGGTGACGAGACCCGTCTTGGGTGAGACGGGTCAATGCCGGCCGGTCAATGGCAGAAAAATGCAATTGCGACTCTCGCTGCCCCGGCCATAGGCAAGAAGAGGAACACGAGAGAGGGGTGGTTTTTGGTCCGTAAGAGACGACAGACCTCTTCGCCGTCATCCATTATGCACGAGGTTCTTCTATCTGTAAAGAATCATCTTCTATGTGTAAGAAAAAAGAAGAATATTTACTCTAATCCTAAATTAGCTGTTACCCAATATGTAACTGTTAAATTTCCCCTTAAATAAAAAAAAAATTACAAACATGCATTTTTATAATTTTCAGGCTTGTAAGTTGCAAATCCCGCATGGGTGGATATCAAAAACTTGTCTTATGGAAAGAGAGGATACAAGGAATGAGGTAAATAATAATTTACGTTAGACACAAAACCATCAAAAAAAGTTCAATGCCAGGTTTTCTGACCACCTTTCCAACCTTGTAATCAGGGTGTAATCAGGGGGTTGAAAGGTTAAATGGGCTTACTGGGGAGTACTTTGCCAGAGAGATTAATAAATCAATACTTACCGTTTGTTACTTGGTCTTTCGGATATTTTAAATTACCCTTAGTATATAGTACTTCCTTTTCTGCTGATCACTATAAAAATTTTAAATTTACTTAGTTTCTTTGATTTGAGTGTTAGTTTTCTTTTATTTGTATCAGCTATATCTGTAATACCAGCCTAAAATAGTAACAGTAATAATACAGGATAACATGTGAAGATAGATTGGGTAAAGAAAACCAAATATGGAACAGGTACAGCACCTGGCTATATTGCTTAAGAAGTTAGTGGATCATGCGGTCACCTCGCCACTTCCTACTGGGCTGTGTTCGATCGATCGATTCGATCCCCACACGTGCAAATACTTTGTGTGATCCACATATTGTTGTTCCAAGTCTGAGCGTTCTTAGTGACCGTTTCAAGTATGTTAGGTAAGGTCCTCCGAGACCACGGAGTACAACAATGTACTCCGTGTCCGAGACAGGATGTTTACCGAGTGCGAGAGTTTTGGTTAAAAAAAATGGTATAAACGTTTTTCCCTCTGGACTGAAATATATTGATGCAGCTGAAGTGTTGTTTTTATTTTATTTCAGATCATGAAATTAATGTACTACTACTTTCTGAGGAAAATAAGTGAATTGTCGGACACAATATTCTTTGTACTTCGCAAAAAGAACAATCAAGCCTCATTCCTTCACGTTTATCATCATTCTATGATGGTAGTTACTGCGTGGGGTATCCTGAAGTATGAACCAACGTACCCATCTGTATTTTTAAGGAACATAAATTCATTAGTACATGTTATAATGTACTTGTATTATGGACTTTCATCATTCCCGAGTTTGGCAAAATATCTTTGGTGGAAGAAATATATTACTAGTCTGCAGTTGGTAAGTAGTGCTTGATAGTTTGTTGTGTGAAGGGTAAAACAATGGTTCCACTTAGTCTTTGGAAACCACGCAAGCGAGTGATTCGTCAAGTTTTGATTACTTAACTATTTATATATTTAGATTCCCATGGAAAGCGACTAGTAACAAATCATTTCCTATCACGAAGTAGTGAAGGGACCTCAGGGTTTAACCCCTTTTAAGGCACGATGAAGCAGATATCTCTACTCACTGTTTCGAAAAAATCCAGAGATAGGAAACCTGCGTATCTTTTTACCTCTGTATTTTTAGAAAGGTTTTCTTCCTCGCTGCACAATTGAGTTATCATTCCTTTCTATTGCAATAAACAGATGTAATTAACTTCTTCTTTTATGATCTTGCTAATTAATTAGGATCTTTAAATTTGTGAAGAATATCGGATAAGTATATTTTCTTTCTTGGCCTATTTGGAACGAAGTTCCTTATCGCGCGTTACATGCTCTGAGCCGATGGGAACGAGACTGAAACATGTGTAACAAGACTTTTTGCCGACACTATAGCAAACGTCTATCAAAAAGCGGAAGGAACTTCATTCCGACTGGGGAGTCCACGCCGTTTTTTATTCCAGCCTAAATGCTTAACGTCATGGACTGAGGCCTTACACAAAACATGCTTTATTATCTTGTTACTAGTCCCTATAAAAACTGCAATAGCCATGAATGGTTCTTCTCTATCTGATGTCTCTAGAACTTAAAAACCATTGTCTTCTTACATTTATAGAATATGTAATGTATTTATTTGTCGATTGGATCCATAACAATAATTACTGTTTAGTGGATAGTGACGTACTCGAATAAATAATTATATTAAACTAGCTGACCCGGAAAACGTTGTATTGCAAAACAAAAAAAATTAGGGATGGGTCACCCTTACTATTTAGGGGTATGAAAAATAGATGTTGGCCGATTCTCAGACCTACCCGATGTGCACACAAAATTTCATGAGAATCGGTCAAGCCGTTTCGGAGGAGTACGGGAACGAACATTGTGACACGAGAATTTTATATATATGATTTAGAACAGTTTAGTTACAAGTTACATAATTGTATTTATTTAATTGTTCATGGCATATCAGATAGTGTGAATCAAAATTTTCCCATGTATTGTTTAAAATAAATAAATAAGGAAAAGACGTAGTCGGGTACTAAAATATACATAGGTATAAATTAAATTTTACATATATTTACATATATGCATCCATAAACCCACATCTATTTTTTTACATTTATAAATATATAATGTCAACATAGATTTAAAGTCACACTTTATATACAATTAAATAAATAATATTCTACCACATTCACACGACGCCATCTAGTCCCAAACTAAGCAGAGCTTGTACTATGGACAGCTGATATAAATACATATATACTTTTTTTTTTGTATATACGTACATATTATACACAGAAACACCCAGAACGAATCAATCATTAAAAATGCATGCACACAATGGTTTGACTTGAGCGGGCATCGAACCCGCGACCTTTGGAATAGCAGTCCGTTGCACAAACCACTATGCCATTCGGTCGTCATTCTAATATTCTTTATAATATTACTACGTTTTACTTATAATATTCAAGCCGTTTCCCTTGTCATACACACACTGGTAACATTTATTACGGCTCAAGATTTGATGAAAATCCTAGATTTTATACTAGAGACCTAAAACTTATAGCAAGGAAACGTGAACTAGAACGAATTTTACGCCACTGCGCAATTAAGGCAGTCAGAGGTTTCTCTGGGCTTATAAGGGCCAGGTTCGACCGCAGTGATATCACGGCTTTACAGAAAAGCGGTATTTCTGATTCTTTCTTTGCCTTTTACCAATTAGGTGACGATACATTTCACTTGCAGGTATTCATGGGTGGGGTAGTGGTTTTTTAACAGAAGACCCGTCGTTTGCCCTCCATGCCATATGAAAAAAAGCGAAAGTTCCGTTTTTTTCATACTACAGACTTGAAGTTTGGTAGAAAGGTAGTTTATAGGTACTATGTAATCGTGAATTTAGAACGATTATGTAGGGCGTGAGCGAGTGAGTAGGGTAGGAAATATGAGTTCAAGGCAGTCTTAAAGCTCTTGCAAACTTTAAAAGAATGTTTTGGGTTCTTTGTACTAGAGGCCTGGGGACTACGACTAAAATAATCATTATTATAGGGCCGGTTTAAAAAAAGTTTAAAGGCCATGGTGGTGAAACCCTATTAACCAATAACAATATTATATTTTATAGATATGTGCTTCACATTGAGGAGTATTCCAACTAACAACAGCTATTTTGCAAACAATACTTGTTTTATTTTTACTTCTATTCGATTACCACCCAGGACAAATAATTGTGTGATGAGCACGGCCATTTGTTCTGTGTCTGGGTATACTTTATCTATAATATGTATGTAGTTAGAAATATATAAGTATGTTTATCAGTAGTCTGGTTACCTTAGCACAGGATTATCCCATGTTTGGATTCAGACGGCGTGTGTGAGATGTGTGAAGTTATTATTATTCTGTAGATATTCCAATATAAAATAATGGACCCATTAACAAAACAACGTTAGATTCTCTACAGCTGGCAACCATTTCATAAATGACATTAAAATTTCAACATTTTATTTACGGAAATCTTCTCAAGCAAGTTTTAGTTAACAGGAGTTATTAGGCTTACTAGTCCTCACTAGAGTTATATCAGTTAAGAATACGTAATGTCACCACCCCTATTCATCCCGTGGGCGTCGTAAAAGTCGACTAGGGGAGAAAACTACGCAAGACACCAGCACTGCAAAGAGAAGGGAAACTTGAACCAACCCGTCTGGCCAGCGTGGTATAGTAGGCCAAAACCTCCTTTCAGAGGAGAGGCCTATGTCCAGCAGTGGACTATCATAGGCTGTTGTTGTGTGATGTGATATGTAACTTAGCCTTTAATGATTTGTGCCGATGAGCATTTGAACGATACATCAGCTTTGCCAAGTTTAATCATAAGTGGAGGTACAGAATAGTGAAATTGAGTAAAAATTGACTGTCCTCAACCACCGTAAACGATCAAATTACTATATTATTTGTAAATATAATATATTTAACAGGTTTATTTTCTTTGTTTCAGATTCAATTCTTACTGATTATACTTCACTTATCACTTACATACGTATATTCAGAATGTACACCATCGTTTGGATTAGCTGTGGTGATTTACGGGAATACGCTTTTCATGACAGTGTTATTTTCAAGATTTTACTTGGAGACTTACAAAAAAAGGGATGTTAAGAAAAGAGAATAAATGAGAAGAATAAGGGGAATATATCAAGATAGAGGTAAATAACGTTGAGATATTAAATGAAATCCATGCTAGTATTATAAATGCAAAAGTGTGTCTTCTGTTTGTCTGTTACCTCTTTACGCTTAAACCGCTGTCTTTGTCTTTTCTCAAGAATCAAAGTATCCCTGTACCAAATTTCATTTAAATCGGTTTAGCGGTTATTGATACCTCATACAAAAAATCTACCTTATGTCCTTTCCCGAGACCCGGACTCTCTCGATACCAAATTTTTTCTAAATCGATTCTGCAGTTTAAGCGCGAAGTGGTAACAGACAACCAGATAGACAGAAAGACAGACAGGCAAATTCATTTTCGCATTAATAATATTAGTATGCATGGGGTTAGATCTATACAAATATACTCGTACTTCAGTGTATTTTTACGAAATTTATTATTAGTTAAATAATTTCTTTATTTCTCTCACACAATTTTACTTATAAGTGAACTATTAATACCCTTTGCCTCATATTTTAAAGTTTTAACTTTTTAGTTTTAAAATTGTCTATAAATTATAAACATTAGATACAGCGATAGATGCTCCTCGAAGTTTATAGAATGTAATACATTATAGCTCACTTTTGTTCTGTATTTGTTATAAGTATGTTCATATTCCGTTTATATTTTAATGCAATTTTAAACATTAAAAAAACAAAAAAAAACTAAAATAGTGAGTGTTTGTTGTTATTTTATTTATTCCGCTAATCTTAGAAAATAAGGAAAAAGAAACCCTTACAAGATCACTTTAAAGTCTTACTCTCTATCTATTTTGTAAATGCAAACTTTTATTTTATGCTGGTAAAATTCACTGTTACATAAATACACGGTGATTTTGAAAGCGTTTTGGAAAAGAAAATTTTGAGTTATTTATCAGTAACAGAAGCTATATATAACGTTAATTTAATAAAATATATATATTTTTTATCATCAAAGTCGATATTCATATCGATTACAGAGAAAAGAAGAAACCAGTAGTAGGGCTTTTCAATCGCAAGTAGGTAAATACTACGAATAGAAAAACTATGCGTTTTAATATCGAGTCACATAAAGGTCGCGCGCTCACGCGCAAGGTCAAGGACGTTTAAATTATTATTCGCCGGAGTGTAGTGCGTGCATACCTGGACAATGAGTTAAGTGATCGGTGGATAGGTCGAGGAGGGCCAGCAGTTGCTTCGATACAGAGAAGTGTAAATAGTGTAAATAGGTATGTAAGTTAATTATTCTGTAGAAAGCTCCGATTTTTTAAATACGCTTGAAATATTTATACCTACAGTCCGTTGATAAATTGATTTGTTGTGAAAAGAACAATCGTGGTTAATAATCGAAAAGAAGTTTAAATAAAATAGGTATTTCCGACGATCCTAAGCCCGTGTAAAGTATGAAGGACAAATTGGAGTCTATCTACGTAAGTACTCGCTAGCTCGCGCCTATAGGTATACTTTTATCAGCTGCTGTTAGCGTCAGCGGTGCGCAGCGGCCGCCGAAACGCACGGACGTGTTTCATTCATATAAGATAATGAATGAATGATCAGTCCACTACTACTTTCCAAGTCGATCGAGTAAAAATTAATATTAAAACTGAAATTTTTTTTTAGACAACATTACAATTGATTTAATCATTTTTATTGGTACTATAGATGATTCCAAATTAAAATGTTTCGTTTCCAAAACGCTTTCAAAATCACCGTGTATATCGATGATTGAAAAAGTAATGTCAGTAGAATAACATAAGTAACAAATTTGGAACACTCCCGACAGCAGTATGTCCCCTAAGTTTGGATGCAGTATCAGGTCATGGTTAGATCCCATATCATGGCAATACCACTGTGGTAAAAGCACACCAGATTGCAAATCAATCGGATTTGCATTAAGTCGGCAAAGAGCTGACGATATTCAGAAATCGTATCGTATACAAAGTGTCATAGTCTAGTAAGAGAATATTTAGGTAAGCTTAATTATGCAGACACAGGAAATATCTAAACAATTTTGAAATGATAAAATTTAAATATTACAATTAACTTATTAAACAAAGTAATGTATATTTGTGCATACAAACAGTTTCAAGTAATTTAAATTATCAATCTATTGGAACTTTAAAATATTTACGTCCTGTATCTAACACCACAGCACAAGCTCTGGGCCTCAATTCTGTTATTTTATGTTAACGCCAAGCCACTGTTATTCCATTGACACGTTATTGAGATGACATTGAGACGCCATTGACATCGGTTAAAATATCAGTATTCTACTAACATCAATTCACAGTGTCAATAGACTGTCGACATAGTAATATAGGTCATCAATGGTGATATCAACAACATTGCCATACCTGGAAAATTAAATATATCATTTTTTTACAAATTTAAAATGTACCGTTTACCAAACTATTAAAAAGACACCGACGACATTTGTATTCGTGACAAGTCGTCGGGAGGCCATTGGTCTTACATAGTTAATAGAATAGGAAAAGTGCAAAACTATTCCGACGACATTCCATCGACAGTCTATTGATACAATATTAAAATAGCAGAATTTAGGCCCAGGCCGTATGCAAAAGATTTTATAATATTTTGATTTTACTGTTTTTCTTGTCGCTTTTGCATATTTTAAAGTAGTCATGCGCTATAGTCCATTTACTCTAAAAGGTACAATTGGACAATTCTGACAAATTTAAGAATAGGGAGGGGGTCAAAGAAATCGAATATGTAGTATTCGATATCAGATTCTTAAGAGATTTCGATGTCATTTCTTTGTATTTACTAATAGATCACAGTTCTACATAAATATGTATGTTACTGTAAAAGCCCGTATATTATTATCAGCTTAGAAGTCAGTGTCACTAAGCACTATACCAACAGGTTAAATTTAATTGAATACTGTCCATTTAACCATTATCAGTAACCATTTCAATCTACAGTTGTTGTTATAATCATAGTTGTGGGAAGGCTAAAACTGTAGCGTGCGTATAGTCGTCATAACACAGAGCCGTCATATTTACATCGGTAAAATGATACTATCAATTCGTGGGAATTATTCAAATATATTGTCTAATAGTACTTAACTTGCACATGAATAAATAATTAAATGTAAATTAAAAGTAAACGTTTTAAAGAGTATTGCAATTTTTTTATTAATACGCGGTTTGTTACCATATTTAATTAAATATCGCGCACTTGGAATAGCATATTTTATTTGAAATTGACTTACGTTCGACATAATCATTCACTGGTGGGTGGTATGCAAGGGGTTCCGCCCAGAAAAAAAGGCGTTTTAAAGTGTTTAATCACATCAACAGCCTTTGATATTCCACTGCTGGACATAGGCCTCTCCTTAGAAAGGAGGCCACTATGGCCAGACAGGTTGGTAGAGGGTTGGTTGTCCTACAGAGCTTACTCCCTTAGTCGGCTCTTACGACACCCTTGGGATGAATAGGGCTAGTGACACTCTGTATTCTTAATCCGTCATTATTAATACTTAATAATCCGTCTATAATTAATAATCCGTATTTAATAACACGACAAGCTACGCCCTGCGATCGCCAACCCGCCTGCCCAGCGTGGCGATTCTGGGCAAACCCTCCCCATGCAAACGCAACAAAGGCCACGGCCCCCAGTTCACGGCGGCCCCGCTATTCCAGGTCATGGTGGCGACCACGGTAAAGGCGGAGCAGGGGATGCAAAGAATCTCCGGGCTACGGGAGGCCACCACAATCGACTGACTGGCTACGTACAACGGACACACGCTACTGCTAGACTCGCATCTGGCGCAACTTGAGGTGGAACTTGGGAAGATTAGGTGGCATATCCTAGGGCTATGTGAACTCCGAAGAGAGGGGGAGGATATCATAACCCTCGAGTCAGCCACCTAATGTACTTCCGCGAGGGAGACCAACAATCCCAAGGTGGCGTTGGGTTTCTGGTAAATAAGTTCCTATCTGACAACGTTGTGGAAATTTCCAGTGTGTCGAACAGGGTAGCGTACCTCATTATCAAGCTCACCGAGAGGTATAGCCTCAAGGTTGAGCAAGTATACGCACCGACCTCGGCACACTCGGACGACGAGGTGGAGGATATGTACGATGACATATCGAGGGCCCTCCACTTCACAACTAAGACCCACTACAACGTTGTTATGGGGGCGAATCGGTAGTAGGATCCCATGGATTTGGAAGCACGAATCATAGGGGGCAAATGCTTTTCAACTTCCTCGAACGGGAGGGGCTCTTTTTGATGAACTCTTTCTTCAAGAAACAGCCCCAAAGGAAGTGGACGTGGCAAAGCCCCGACGCTATGACCAGAAATGAGATTTCATCATGACGGATAGCTCTAAGCCATGACAGGATCTGAAACGTTCCAGTCAAAACTGGAAAACCGATTCGCTGCCGTGGAAAACCACAAACGACGTAAACCAGAACCTCTAAAATGTGGTTCGGATCTTCAGGGAAGAAGGTACGAGATTTTGTGAAATGCAGCGTAAGGGCAGGAAGTCGAAGCTTTCAGAAATGACCCTAGGGCTGATGAAGAACGACGTGAAAACCAACCTGTCACTTTGTCGGCAAAGCGGACTCTAAACCGAGAGATCAGTAAACACGTACGACACCACCTCCGGTGCTCCAATACTCTTTCAATTGAAAGAGCGATCGAGCAAAATCGTGGTTCAAAAGTGTTCGTACAATCTCTTGGAAGAAGCCACCTGACAAAGTTGACCACAAAAAGTGGAGAGGTCGTTGCTTCGAAGCCGGCAGTCCTTTTGGTTCATCTCGACCTGATCCCGAAAATGAGGACTCTAGAGCCACATTAACACGTCACTACACCGAAGACCTGCCAGAAGTTAGCATTGACGAAATCGAGATGGCTCTCGGACAGCTGAAAAATGGAAAAGCACCTGGAGAGGATGGCGTTACAACAGAGCTGCTAAAGGCCGGGGGTAAACCCGTACCAAGGGAGCTCCAAAAGCTCTTCAACGCTGTCCTGTTTGAAGGGAGAACTCCGGCAGCGTGGAATAGGAGTGTGGTCGTCTTGTTCTTCAAAAAGGGTGACAAGACCAGGTTGAAGGACTATCGACCCATATCCCTTCTAAGCCACGTCTACAAGCTGTTTTCGAGAGTCATCACGAACCGTCTTGCGCAAAGACTCGATGAATTCCAACCACCGGAGTTAGCTGGGTTGCGGAGCGGATATGGCACCATAGACCACATCCACACAGTGCGGCAGATTATACAGAAGACCGAAGAATATAATCAGCCCCTGTGTCTAGCATTCGTGGACTATGAGAAATCCTTTGACTCGATCGAGATCTGGTCTGTTCTGGAGTTCCTGCAGCGTTGCCAAGTAGATTGGCGATACATCCAAGTGATGAGATGTCTCTACGAAGCCGCCACCATGTCCGTCCAAGTACAGAATCAGCAAACAAGGCCCGTACCATTGCATCGAGGAGTGAGACAAGGGGACGTTATTTCCCCGAAATTGTTCACAAATGCAATGGAGGACATGTTCAAGACGCTGCACTGGAAAGGGCGTGGCATCAATATCAATGGCGAATGCATCTCTCACTTGCGATTAGCAGACGACATCGTCATCATGGCAGAGACGCTGCAGGACCTACAGCAAATGCTGAATGACCTAGCTGACACTTCTGTACGCATCAGCCTACGGATGAACTTGGATAAAACCAAGGTCATGTTCAACGAACATGTACTACCGGAACCGGTTGCGGTACACGGTGCCGTTCTCGAAGTTGTTCAAAATTTTGTGTACCTTGGGCAGACATTGCAGTTAGGTAGAAACAACTTCGAGGACGAGGTGAACAGAAGAATTTGGTTGGTTTGGGCAGCGTTTGGGAAGCTACGTCGAGTCTTCTCATCGTCGATCCCACAGTGCCTTAAGACGAAAGTCTTTAATGAGTGCGTCCTACCCGTCATGACATACGGAGCTGAAACGTGGACACTTACGGTACGGCTGGTCCACAAGTTCAAAGTCGCTCAAAGTGCTATGAAAGGGCTATGCTCGGCGTTTCTCTAAGGGATCGCATCAGAAATGAGGTGATCCGGCAGAGAACCAAGGTTACTGACATAGCCTACCGGATCAGCAAGCTGAAGTGGCAGTGGGCTGGCCATATTAGCCAGAACCGACAACCGTTGGGGAAAACGAGTTCTTGAGTGGAGACCGCGTCTCGGCAAACGTAGTGTAGGACGCCCACAGGCCAGGTGGAGTGACGATTTGCGCAAGATGGCTGGCAGGAACTGGATGCGAAAAGCCCAAAATCGATCTAAGTGGCGTGCAATGGGAGAGGCCTATGTCCAGCAGTGGACTGCGATAGGCTGATGATGATGATGATGATACATATTATAGAAATCAAATATAGCTCACGTAGGACCCGTAATATTTTGAGGCCGTGGTGCTTCCCTGTTTAAAAGGATGTATGCCCGCTTTGCTAAGGAGGGAAGTGGATTTACTGTATTTCCAACTCCTCCAATTTTCTTCTGATTAACTTCGTTGCGGGTTCCAAGACAGTTTAATTTCTTCCTGGGACTTCCCGAGTGTCATAACTCGGTGTGTTCGTGGTTCACTGCTGTGGATCCTGGTGTACAGTAGTTACAGTGGTAGGCGTGTGGGTGGGATTAGTCCCAGTCAGGTTTACGATTTGGCAAGACGGCGGTCTGCATCAGACCAGTGTCCACCACCTCTGGACAAAGCCAGCGGTAGAGAAACCATCCGCCCTCTAGTCTACCCTCCACTATGCCCTCCACCAAACAAAGGGACACTCGGAAAGCCTCCAAGCAACTCTCGGGAGGGCCGCTCTCACCTTGGCCGAATTGGGCGTAGACAGCAGTGCCTCCTGAGGGTGAGCCACTGCGACAGGCTGATGATGATGATTTAATAATACTTAAAATTTATCTGACATCCAACGTCAGTCAAGGAAATCACAAAATTAGAATTAAAAGTATCTAAGTTAATGTAATTTTAAATAAATCTTTGTAGGCAAAATCACTCGTGCCCAAGTCTATTGCATGCTAAGATTTTCTAGTAATCATCAACATCATCAACAGCCTATAATAGTCCACTGCTGGACATAGGCCTCTCCATAGAAAGGAGGTTTTGGCCTACTATACCACGCTGGCCTTGGGCTGGCCTTGGACGGGTTGTTATAGGGTTTGTTTCAAGTTTTCCTTCTCTTTGCAGTGCTGTTGGCCTGCGTAGTTTGATCCCTTAGTCGGCTTTTCGATACCCACGGGATGAATAGGGGTGGTGACACTCTGTATTCTTAGTCCGTCACCACACTAAATTAAGAATTAAGAATACGGAATGTCACCACACCGGTGACATTCCGTATTCTTAATCCGTCACCACACGGAAATGCAAGTCGTCACAAAACAAGCATAGGATTTCTAGTAAAACCTATGCTTATTGCACGGGTTTTTATTTTTCAACATAAATCTGTAAACCCGTAATCGATTAGTACATACTAAGAAATTATATCGATGTCTTTTAAGCATCGGATATTCTTATAATCGGTGTCTTTGACCCCATTGCCATACTTCAATCTGTCACAACTGTCAAACGGTACCTCTTAGATTAGATTGACTATACGTTATAAGCACACACGTTATAGACACAACGTATAGGTTTTTAATCTCGGAGACCAAACTGACACCCGCAAATGTCAATTTTTAAATAAGTAATTTCAGCTCTTTTACGCAGTGATATTACTTTTTTTATTTTTTTTGTTGACGGGGTGGATAATTCCTTCGGATCTCCGGCTCCGTAGGGATGTAGGAGCCAGGGGTATGTGGTGTTTCCACTAAAAACCACCCCGACGGCCGGACTCAGGCGCCCTACTCCGAGGAGGACCCGGACCATGTTATTTCAGGTCCCCCCGGATCGACGCCGCGCTTAGCCAGGCACTATCCCGGGGAAAGAAGGCTTCCCCGCCTATCGGGCAATCCTTATGATAATATTGAGGCCCGATCGCATTTTTGCGACCAAGCCACCATCCTATAGCCTACCGCAGCAGTTAATTTGCCACCATAGGTCCCCACTCTCTGGCAGCCTGCGGCCCCGTCGACGGCGCTATCAGCCGTTGTTGATGATGTTGTTTTTATCTTAATTTGACAGTTAGCTTCAAATTTAACAATTTAGTATTACCAAAAAAAGTTAAAATTAATACTAGCGCCAATATAAATACCAACACTAAGCACATACTCGCTGTCAATGAGACCCCATCTAATATTTAAATATAACGTGACTTTTATTTTCCATTCGTCACCAAATTTATCATTATTTTGCGTTCACGAATGACAATGGGCTCATAGTAAAATATTGCTTTAAATGATAAAAAAAAATTGGATTACAATGAACTGCAGTCAAACAATGATGTCTGTTACTGAAAAAAGTGAATTATTTTGGGATTTTAAAGGATGTGGTAAGTGTAGATTATTGCAAATAAATTATTAAAATCTCATCTACTAATTTTAATTTTTCAACATGTTTTAAACGTTTAAAACTTTCTCTTTTATGTTATCTTAATAAAAATGAAATATTTTAAGTCATCATCATCATCAAATTTTAAGTGTCATTCATTAAACAGGTCTGGTAGGGCTTTCTAAGCCTTCTCACTATAACGTCTTACAATAAAAAAAAAATCCTGATATTTTTTTGGTTTATATGGTAAGACCGAAAGCTGTAAACAATCAGTGATTTTACATAACGTATTAATGAAAGCTGTAGATAATTCATAAAGCTTTGAATAAAAGCTGCTAGAAAAAAAGGCTAATTGTCCTAGGTATATCAGACCGAACCAGTGATATAAATTTTCAAAATCTAAAACCTCACCATCTTGGACTATAGTGCTTTTTGAGAAAAAAATATAAAGTTAAATATTTTTTTTTGCCATTGATACGGCGCAGCAATACGGCAATTAAGACATAATAAAAGTGTTTAACAGCGTTGTTCACAGGTTTAAAAAAATAATTTTATTAAATACACAACCCTACACGAGGTTACTGTATTTCTTTGACGAAAAAACTGTAACTATACATTTTTATTTAGAGGCGTATTAGCTTTCCTTAGTTATTCAGATTTTCATATTCCTTTTTTAAAATATTAAGAAATATATTATAAATCACATTATTGTCATATTAACCAAAGAAAATATTGCATCCAAAATCTAGGAACCCAATTTAAAACTTTTGCAAAATCAGGCATCATCAACGTCACTTGCAATTCATTTGCAGCACTTAGTATACCTTTGATGGAAAGGTATGACACCTGTCATTGTGATGACTCTACACTCATCTAACACAAAAAAAAAAATTGTATTAAGAACTATCTTATTAGGGCCCTTTATATGACTACATTTTAAAACTTGCTTACGTACAAGGTGAATAAAAATTCATTTTATAAATTTTATCCATTATAATCTTATAGTGTTGTATTTAATGTTGTTTGGGTTTTAATGGTCGCAGCACAATAATTTCAGCTGTTTTTACATACAGTCTTGAAAGTAGCACATAGGATGCTGTTACTGTGGTCTAAATCTAGTGATGTTTACCCCTTTTTTTTCTGTGCGAAAATCCCCTCAGATACCACCCACCGGTGGTATCCGAGGGGATTTTCCGAGGGGTTGTGTCAGACTCGAACCGACCAAAAACCGCACGCATTCTCGGGAACCAAAAGTTGGGAAAGCAGGAGTACCCTAGAAAGGAAATCCTTGGTACCCCGACGTACCTCCCAAAGTACGGCGGTCATCTGCTCGCCTTAGATATCCCGATATCTACGGCGTGTAGATGACCACCTCCTGTGTTCCATTTGTGTACCAAATTGCGCGTCTCGTCGTTCTACCCCGGACCTCAACAGGTGGGGTAGTACGACAAATGTCTCTGCGTAACTGTGTGAATCAATTTCGACCTTATTTTAAATGGGCCTTGATGCAAAGTATTTTTCGAATTCTTAAAGCATTTAAGATTGTTCAGCCGGTGAAAAAATCATCATCTTTTCAAATTGTTGCAGATTTTGTCATCATTTGCGTGTATCCGTAAAAAAAAATTGTTGTGTCTACTGTCATGTGTACTGATAATAGAACTCTGGCGGTCCTACTTTATAGCAGAAATAAAATACTAAATCAGTAATATTGGACAACCAACGCCTTCTAGAAGTACTTCACACAATCTGCAATATTATTTCAAAAGTAATTTGCCCTGGCCCGTGTGTATTGTTCTTCTAATTTTTTTTCAAATTAAATCAGAATCAATTTAACCATGACCAATAATCTGAACAAGCCTTGTTTCTCAGCAGACCGAAATACTCTACATCATTCATTTATACTTGTGTATATACAGTTTTAGTTTATGGTTATACTTAGATGTGTTGTTTACGGTTACGAGTATAAGATCAATGCGCCACGCATTGACCTTATAACCAGCGGTAAAACTGCGGTTTTTAATTAATTATATGAACATTATTGACAAGCTTATTAGAAATTTAAATTTACTTTTAGTACCAATCAAAGGTTATCAACATGTCACATTTATACATTTTTATGACGTCTTTATTTCTGTGATTCAATATATTAATAGAAATGACTATGAAAAAAAAAGTATGAGAGCATAAATGAACTTGTCTCATAATAAAGTAAAAATATTCTCATATATTACACACACGGCCGTCTGATCCCAAACTAGTGCCGCACCACTGCCGCAGATGCGCGTCAGACCCTCAACAGCCCTCGGTTTTATTCTAAGACTTTCTGCGGATCTCAAAAAGTCAAACCATTTTAAATGCTTTACTATACATTTGTTCACAGTGGAACCCTATACACAGATAGAATCGAGCGCATACCAAAGCGGTTTTTGAGATTTTTAGTTATACTGCCCGGTGATATCCTGAAGATTCAGAATTTACCCCTGTATGAGCATACACATATTGCGAATATAGCATACTTATCCGAAATCGCCACCCCTCCACAATTCAGTGGAGTGCCTAGATTTGTTAGGCATGATAGGATTATTAATACATCCCACAATCCTGCGCAATCTTAGTCTTCTGTATGTTCCTTGCGTAAAGAGTATTTAATATATGTATATATTGTTGCGCCATATATACATATATATACTCATTGTGTTTTCGAGTTGAGTGGTTCATGTGTTGTGTCCGGGGGACCGCGCCATCACCGCGCATACTGTAGATTTCTGTTATGGGCGCGGATATGACTGGCGAATCCGAATTTGGTCTTAAAGGTCTTTCACATGACACACAGTGCAGTTTACCTGCTGAGTTATAGGTGTAGGTATACACGGGCTTGGATCTTGTTTTTGTAATCCACCGTTTAGAGTCCATGCTCTAGTGTAGAGTCCATGGTTGCCTCGTATTGCTCAATAGCCTGATGGACGGTCATTCGCCACTCAGATCGTCGTTGAGTGTGCTCTTGCCAGTCCTCACACGGAATGACACATGTCACATGTAGGTGGCGCTTCAGGACGTCCCTGTAACGCAGGAACTGTCTCTCTGAGAAAAATTCCTTTAAAAAAAACACATTTGGGAAGTCTTGAGTCGCTCATACGTACTAGATAACCACACCATCTGAGCTGCCCCCCATTAGTAGAGATTTCATTCCCATCATCCCCGTTCGTCGTAGAATCTCTGAGTTGGGGACATGGTCGTGCCATTTGACGCGCAAAAGGGACCTCAAACACTTCATGTGTTTTGTCGACACTGGAGGCACTTTGGATTGTTCTGGTTGTCATGTAAAGATCGAACATTATACGAGACTTCCATGAGGTAATTATGGCCCAGGTTCAACACGAAGACGATCACACAGAGCAGTTTCCTGTAACCTGCAGCGTTAAGCAGGGATGCTTTATTTTGAGGCTGTGACGAGAGATTGAACAGACAGAGAACAGTAAATGTATGCACTGACAAAAGCATCTGTGTTATACGCCGATGACGTCTATTTCGATGACGTTATCTTACGGCTAATAACCTTCAAACTTACTTAAATAGTTTGCTTTGTTTGAAGAGTCTTGCGATTTGGACTAGTCATAAGTGTCCCCAAAACACAAATAATGAAACAACCAGCTCGAGGTGACATTATTGATACCGCGGCCATAACACCGTGCGGGAAAACTCGAGAAGAAGTGCCATCATTCCGCTACCTGGGGAGCACGGTTCGAAACGACAACCGCCTAGTCACAGAAATCTCTATAATATTGCTCTACGCCACTGAGACCTGGTGCCTGTACAGTGGTGACAAAAAGCGCCTTGACACTTTCCACTTGAAGTTTTTGAGGTTCCTTTCGTAAGGAGTATGTATATATATATGTATATTGTTGCGCCATAGGATTGAGTGGTTCTTGTGTTGTGTCTGAAGGATAGCGCCATCTAGTGTCAAGCGGAGCGTGTTGGTCGTTCGGGCCCCCATTTTTTTACGACACAGCGGATTAACATTGAAGCGAATTTCTTTATCTGATTGTTTTGTTTGTAGTATGAAATTGTACTGTTAATTTTTATTATTAAAATGCTGTAATTAGCACTATCTATTTCAATTTGTACTACAAGTTTAGACTTTTTGAAATGAATGTAAATTTATACTAATTTTACGTTGATGCAAATGTCTATTTATAAACTTATTATTATACAATTTGCATGCCAGTAAAGTTAGATTAAAGATAACGATATCGAATGTAATGTTAACACCACTGTATACCCTTGATACCCAGCAATAAATATTATTACCATTTAGAGGTTTTCTGGGCCCAGAAATTAAACAGAGATAAGTTTCGACGATGTGTGGTCATTATAAAAAATATTCGTATTATATGCACAATTCGTTGCTACAATTAGTGGTAACACTAAGGAGTAAAAAAAAAAAACTAAGTGGACCAATGATTGAACTTGGGACTTAGCGATCATTTCGGCAGACACGCCGCATGCTATAAAAGGCTATAAATCCAATTCAGTATGCAATTGAACTCGGCGCAGGGATGTCGCTCGCTGCTCCGCCGGCGCACACGCCGTTTCCTACACATGAACTCGCCCTCGGCGGGGCGGCGGCACCCAGCCAGTGTCGGCACGGCCCTGCCGCATTCGGACGTGCCGACAGTGGCATACGCTTCTTATTTTATGTAGATCGCTCGCTACATTATCATCATTATCCCGGGTGGCAACGCGGACATCCTCCGCCGTCACGGAGTCATCCAGGCCGGAGTGGCGCAGCTCTGCGCACTTGGTATGCGATCCTCACACCATCCCAGGCTGCAAATATTTTCCGCAGCTTGCATCTTCAGCCCTAGGGAACTCGAGAACTCGAACCCATCTGGGGGAAGCGCACCTTGACGCCTACACTTCACAATTCATTGGCGAGACTATCCCGGGCCTTTTTAAATATGACCGGGTAGGACAGCCCGCCTCGGCGCTGACGCGTTCTTCGGCCTATCTGTTACCAATGGGGTCGAAAGCCGAAAATTAAGTCTGCGTTTCCGACTATCACGGCATTGCATTTTCATTAAGTCCAATGCCGATGCGTCGTCACACTAGACCTCTGTCTGACGGAATGGCGGAACTGGAACGTAGACGTTCCGATGTTCTTTGGCTCTCAGGAGTAAGATTAACTTCTGGGAGCCCTACCGAGATAGGCGTCTTAGGTACAAGTTCCTTCTCATTGGACAAGGAATCGTCTGCCTTCCTAGACTTCTCCTTATTTTTTTTCTTCTTTCTGTTTTTGTTTTATGGTTTTATTTGAATCCATGATTGATCCCACGAGAAATAATAGTCGACCCGGCCAGAGATCCTTCAATTATAGAGTCACTCAATTTTCACTTTGTCTTCATAATTTTGTCAAAAAAAACCGAAATCATTGTATTTGAACTCGCTTAATACTTGTGATGCTACGATTCATACCTATATGAGACAAAAACTTTCCATATTAAAATATAAATCTGTAAGTAAATAGGAAAACATCACATCACATAACAGTCTGTTTGACTAAATAAATATAGACCAACAGTTTGTAAATTGTAGCAATAGGCTTGTGTCCACTAATAACAAATTGCTTGGTTTATAGTTTCAAATTATAAATGAAGAGACCAGAATAAAAAAAAAACAGTCTATTTCTCATAAAAGTTAAAGATTATTAATATTTTCTTTAATTAAATTCGAACAAATTGAGGCCTATGTCCAGCAGTTTACTGCGATAGGCTGATGATGATGATGAAATTCGAACAAAATAGGCATTAAGTCACGTGACAGCGAACACCAATCATAAAGTGATACGTCACGCCACGCAAAACATAATTGTTGTTGTTGACGTTTTCATACAACAGAGCAGGTTACTCCTTATTGTTTTCGTTTTTAGCATATTTTCTCACCTTAATACAGTTTGGTTTCCAGATACTTCAAGACGCCATGACACTATTCAGCGTTTTCAAGGGAAATTTAAAATGTTTTTTTTAAATACAAAATACGTAATGGGTTTTTTTGGACAAAATAGAAATTAAAGTATATAATTAACCAAGTTTTCAAATTGAGTCAACTAGCCTATTGTCAATACCTTGATTTTCAGACTTGGTAGGCCATAATAAATTTCACAAAAACTTAAATCCCATTCATATTAAAGAAAGATTTAAAAAATAATACTTATTTACACTTCACCGTGGGAGAGTCCTGCTTCGGTACAAATATTTCGGTTCGAACGGAGTGATTTCACGGGCTCTCAGAAAACCAGGTTCAAGCAATTCGTTCGTTGCTTTTCACTTAGTGAGTGTGGTTATAGGACACCACCTCTGATTCTGGGGGGTTCTCAAAACTCGCCAATGCACTTGTGATTCTCTAGTTGCCAGTTCCAACGGCGGCGATAGTCACTTAACATCAGGTGACCCGTGCGATCGTTTGCCCTCATTTCATAAAAAAATATTCCGCTATCTGTCTTATTTTGTATAAGAGCTTAGTTAAAAAAATAATCTATCACTTCCTAGCATATTGTAACTTCTTTAGCCCAATTCAGGTTAGTTCATAGTTTTTATTATGTTTCAGTGGACACGGTCGACAACTGGCCGTTGATGTCTTCGCCGTTTCCCATGCTGACATTCACCGCTTCATATCTGTTATTTGTACTAAAATATGGCCGGGTATATATGAAGAATCGTGAGCCATACAATTTGAAGAATGTTATTGTACTATACAATATTTTACAAGTGATCGCATCCGCGTATTTAGTTTACTTAGTAAGTTGTTTTTACCTTTCTTAAAAATAGACTGTACCCTTAGTACAGAATAGTATAAATACTTATTTACTCGTACTCAAAACAAGAAAAAACAGCAAAATCACACTGATATCGTTAAGCTTTTTTGGTTCATGACAAACTTCTTGGATTTTTCTGTTATGTCATTTGTATTACTGAACATTACTGTAAAAGTCTCCCAATATAATATTCACATATTATATTTGGGTTTTAGTTCACATTAATTACGAGCTTAGCGTTAAGATCAAAAGAACCGCCGTGAGTTTGTTTGGATGAGTTTATGAACGCAATCCGATGCGATGCGTGTGGGGTGGGGTCACGGCGATTCCTCAACTTTAAAGAACGAGAGAGCCAAAACAATAGGAAATATGCATGATTTTTGTTTTTATATTTCCTAAATTATTCATTAAAATTTTTATAATAAAAAATATAAAGTCTTGAAAATAGTCAAATAATTTTTCAATGTGAAATTTAAAACATTGAATAAATTTGAGCTTTTCGCGCGCGCGCGCTTTTGATGGTGTCATTGGTTGTGTCCTGTGTTTGTTAATTATAGCGTTTCAGTTACTTCATACTTATTTTCAGTTTTAATTGCTTTGATTTTTTAAAATAAGAATAAGTTCTAGCACTTAAACAATATACGAGTATAGTTTGTGTGTTACTGATTGTTTTAACGTGTTTTCACGTGAGTGATAGTGATCAAGATAAAAAAAGAAATTATCTGGTTACCAGAATGAACAAGAAAAAGAAAACAAGAAGAAGAACATGATAAAAATACAACTAAAGTAAGGAAATATTACACTTCCAAAGAATCATTAGAGACAGAAACCAGTCATTTTATCGATGGTGTTATAAAAAACTGATTAAAAAACGCTTCATGTAGTGGTATGTGCTTTATATGTAATTTTCTATAAATAAATATAACTTTAGTCTGTTTGTAATGTCAAAATAAAAAAGAACATTTTCTTTTTTAATTTCTGTCTGTCTTTTTCTTATATATAATTATTTTTCGTCCTCTACCAAAAATTAAGATTCATTAAAAAATATGTTATAAATCAGACCTTAAAACCATTGTCTGAAACAAGATGGTCAAGCAGAATAGATGCTATCCAACCGCTGTTTACAAATTTACCAGAAATTTATGATGCTTTATATGAAATATGAAATGGTATCATATGATCAGAAGGCAAAATATGACGCTAAATGTCTAGCAGAAAAAATATGCTCCTTTTTATTTCTTTTGTTCACTACATACGAGTATATGCCATAAAATATTGACAAAAGTAAATTTTGTGAGCAAAATTCTGCAGTCCATCGATATGAATAATAATACTCGTAATTAAAAAAAGTTTTCGATGAGAATTAGAACTAACGCAAATTTTGAGGCAATTGTAAATGATGCCATGAAAATTGGCGAAAATTTAGATGTCGAGACTGAATTTGAAACTTCCAGATCCAAAACCCTAAGACGTCGTAAGACTCCAAAGAGTTTTAAATATGAACACGAAGACCACACTCTAAATGATCCGAAAACCGCTTTTAAAATTAAATTGAAAGCTATATCTTCCTTAGACGAAAGATTTAATTTATTGATTAATCAAAATGACGTTTAATTATTTTATTTAACTAAGTGAAGACCAAGATCAAAGTCGATTAAGAAGTAGCCGTCATCGTTTGCAGGAAAGATTTTCAGCAAATGATTCATTGGATATTAACGCCGACGAAGAAATTATGAGATGTCAGTATTTAAAAAAAAAACAAATAATGATGTGGTGAAAATTTTCGAATGTATACATTTAAACTATTTGACAGCTGTATGCTCTAACATTACCATAGGATTACGAATTTTGCTATGCCAGTTACCGTAGCAAGCGCGGAAAGATCCTTTTATAAATTAAAACTTATAAAAAATAGCAACAGTATCCATAGGCCATATTAGACCATATAGATATACACAAAACTATTAAGGATTTCGCAAACAGGAACAGGAAAGCGAGAAGAATGGAAATAATATAATTTAAATATGTTTATACTCCTACACATTTTAGATTCTTATTGTATTTTTTTTAAACATTGCATTGACTTTTTTCTAATAAAACTGATTAAACTATTTAATCAGTTTTACTAGAAAAAAGTCAGCTATTTTGTTATTAATATCTAAGTATAGAATTAGATATAACATCATAAATAAAGTATGTAAAACTTTAATTCGTGTTTTATTTTTCGCAGTAATTGGCAAGCGGAAGCGAACTGGTTTTAACTATTTAGGAAAATATTATCTAAGTATATAAAACTGGAGAACATTTATGTCGGACAAAATTAACAAACAATAAAAAAAACATAAGTTGAAACGTAAGATTTGTAAAAAAAAGAGGCGCTTCATAGGTTTCGTACACAGGCGCTGTAGGGAGTCGGCGCGGCTCTGGCTCCATACACAATACACAAAACTACCTCTTCTTCCTCCTCCTTCCTTCCTTCCCAAACTAGATTGGGGTCAGCTTTACGTTTACTATGACACGGCTGAACTTGAATTTTTGAGGTGTAGAGCGACTACCATCAGACCCCCACAACCCGTATTGGGCGAAATCGAAGTTCTGTAAAAATACTGTTGTTGGACTTTTTAGCGCTCCTTGACTTGTCACTGAACTGCCACTGATACAAATGTCGTCGATGTCTTTGTAATAGAATGGTGAATGGCACCTGTTAAATTTGTAAGGGAATGACTTATTCAATTTCCGTGATTTAGCAATGTTGTTGATATCACTATGGATGAGCAGTTGTCACTAAATCCACAGTCTAATGACACTGTACTTTTAACTTAATAGAATACCGTTATTTTGACCGACGTCAATGGCATCTCAATAGCTTGTTAATTGAATGACGTTGCTTGTGCGTTGACATAAAGTTGCAGAATTGAGGCAATAACAAATCAACTATATTTTAAATACGTTGGCAGCCTTTGAATGAATAAAAGAGGGATTACAAAATAAAATAAGGGGTTGACTCAATTCCCTCCTAGCTACCGAGTGCAGGTACTTTCCGAAGCAGCGTTGCTCGGAAAGGACCTACGTTAATCGGAAGGAACTACTACTACTTCATCTGGGCCTGCACTCAATCTTTGAAATGCAACCACTGTTTGCTCAGCACTGGTTTTTTTATAAAGTCTTGGTACCTGACCAAAGCATGGCTCTCCCGATTATTTGATGATAAAACCTGGATTAATTAATATAAACAAATCAAAAAAAATGACGATGAAAGTATAAACTTCAAAACTTCTACTTGCACTTACTTTTTTTTCTCATTTCAATACATTGTCCGTTATTTGTCGTATTACAGGCAATGACGCTGTCATGGCCACATGGATGGGTTGCAAAAACTTGTCTTCTGGAAAAGGAAGACACAAGAGATAAGGTAATAATATATTTCTATATAGTAGTCGCACGAGTTAAATGCAGAATACAATATTTTACTTGGTTAGGCGACGGGGGAAGATGCTCCCGCACGTCTCCATTGACTACATTTGACTCGTGGACTATAATTATGTTCTTATCAACGAAATCTTGATTTCTTTCCAGCTCACAGTGGTGTTGTATTACTACTTCTTGGCCAAAATGAGTGAAGTTTTTGATACGATATTCTTTGTATTGCGGAAGAAATACAACCAGGTTTCATTTCTACACGTCTACCATCACACACTAATGATAGTTACAAGTTGGATTTTCCTAAAATATGAACCGATATATCCTTCGTTATTTATCAGAAATATTAACTCTTTTGTACATATTATTATGTACACGTATTACGCACTAGCATCTTTTCCTAGCTTAAGGAAATATCTATGGTGGAAGAAGTACATTACTAGCTTGCAGCTGGTAAGTTTAATTCTTTTTTGTTTCTAAAATCCATATCGGATGAACAAACTTTTGTTTGTGATTCTTTTATAAAGATACGATATAATTATAGTAGATAATTATTAGCGGTTTTATCAGGTCTCAACGGTAGCATATCTAACTTCACAAGAGAATGCCTCTCAGGTAGTTTTATGATAGTGTTGCGCCATAGGATTAAATGGTTTGATTGTATGGAATGTGGAGGACAGCGAAATGTAATATCGACTCAAGTACATCTAATAAGATTGTGGTTAATATGAGTAGTTCTGATCCTTACAGCGCTAGATGGCGCTGCAAGTAACGCGTGACTGATTCTGGAATATTTTTGTTGTCTGGAACGGACTATCGAATATTAGGTATTTTTCTAGTAAAATTGAAAACCACTATAAAAGCGGAGCGTGTTGGCCGTTTAGGGCAGTATCGTTTTACGACATCGGAGTGAATTTCTAATGCGATATATAGTGATTTCTAGTCTAGAGTCCTATTTTCTGAAAGTACAATACAACTACAATCAATGATAAACGCCCTCCACACAGCTAGTCTACAGGTTAGTCTAGAAATAAATCGCAATAAAACAAATATCATGACAAATAACAGCAGGAACCCAATATGCCTAGAAAATGAAAAGTTAGAATATGTCGACACTTATATTTACCTGGGGAAGCAGATATCATTCGATAAGCAAAGAAATTACCATGAAATAGAAAGAAGAATTGCAAACACATGGAAGAAATTTTGGAGTCTGAAAGAAGTTTTAAAAAGTGGAATGCCAATTAGAATTAAACAAAAAGTCATGGATACCTGTATTCTCCCATCACTGGAAGTTCACTATAAAAGCTAAAAACAAAATTAGGTCATGCCAAAGCGGGATGGAAAGAAGCATATTAAACTTGAAAAGATACAAAAAGTACCAAATAAAACTATTCGGAAAAAGACTAAGGTTGTTGATGCTCTATGTCACTGCAAAAAATTAAAGTTGCGCTGGGCCGGCCACATAACGCGGCTGACAGATAGCAGATGGACGAAGAGATTGACGTCTTGGGTCGGACCAGCAGGCTCTAGGAAGAGGGGCAGACCAGTTGCCCGGTGGACCGATGACATAACTCAAGTGGCCGGCGATCGTTGGATGGACACAGCAACCGACAGGGACGCTTGGAAATCTCTAGAGGAGGCCTTCACCTTCGATTAAGAGGGGTTCTTACTACTTAGCGCACAGATTACTGTATAAAATTAGATAAAAATAATAGTAGTAGTAGTAGTAGTATTTAATAGTTTTAAGATTAATTGTAACTGTATTTTTAGTAAGAAATAAAAGACTTTTTTATTTTTATTTATTTATTTATTTATATAGTGATTTCTAGTTAATAATAGTGTTTGTAAATTCAGTGCAATAAAGTAATTAACCGACAACTTCTATTTATTATATATCCCGCTCGTAATAATAGTTTATCCATTAAGTAAAGTTAATAATTAATTAACATTTAAATTTATGTGATTTTAAAATTACCAAACTTTTCTTTCAGGTACAGTTCGTTCTGGTCTTCATTCATTTTGCGTTAACTTACGCAATTTCGGAATGCACTCCTTCTTTTCTTCTAGGTCTGACCGTTTTTGGAAATAGCAGTTTCTTTGTATACTTATTTGGTCAATTTTATTGGAAAACCTATAAGAACAGGGAAAATAAAAAGTATATTAAAAAGGAAAATGAAAACAGTAATAATGAAACCTATTATCTCAAAAATAATAACAATATCAACACCACAAATGCTGGACGAAAGAACATTATGAAAGCAAGGTAAAATTAGTCTATAATTTTTTGATCAATCTGTTCGGGACATCCTGAAAGAAATATTCAAAGAAGAACAAAATAATATTAAGTAAATTGAAAAAGTTATATATACATTATGCAATACTAATAATAAAAAAATGTCCTACCACATTCACACAACTCCATCTAGTCCCAAACTAAGCAGAGCTTGTACTATGGGTACTAAGACAACTAATATAAATACATTTGTTTTTTTTTTGTAAATATATACATATTATACATAGAAACACCCAGACCAAATCAAACAATAAATGTTCATTCACACAAATGTTTGACTTTACAGTTCGTTACACAAACCACTACGCCATCCGCTCGTCAAATACTATTAGTTGCTCGCAGCTCGAGGATCGGTTCTTATTTCATACTAATACCAATGTCCAGCTGTATTATACTCCTTCTTGCGAAGTACTATTATAATAGTCCTCCATTATTAGCTGCCCTAACATATGTAATACTAATAACTTCATAAACGGCAATCTGATCAAAGGCAGGGTCTGTACTGTGGGAACCAGCCTGCTGATAAACATACTTACATTTGCATACATATTATGGAAAAATTACATCCACACACAGAACAAATGATCGTGCTCATTACACAGTATTTGTCCTGGGTGGGAATCGAACCTACAACATTCACAGCACAGCAGGAAGACTTTTTTTTAAATTGATTTGAGAATACTTGTATACTTTTTTTGTAAATACGTACATATTATAAATAGAAACACCCAAACTTCGAGAAAAAAATCGCATATCATACAGATATTAGGCTCGATCCAGGAATCGACCCCGAGCAGCACCGAGACAGTCAAATATCTACTCGACTATCTAAATCGGATCACTTTGAGTCCGGGTACTAAATTATTACCTATATTATTAACTCTATTTGACAATTAATTGTAATAAATTATTATAATCAAATGTTAATTAAAATATAAAATGTCGTTTTATTATATTCCTAATAAATGTTATTTCTAACGTTACTTCTAATGAAAAAAAGGTGCTGTCATTACTTGTCTGAAGGTTACAATACGAAAAAAAAAAACACAGTGGCACTCCGGGAGAGCTGACAGAAGTGAAAACTTATATACAGGGATGTCGGTAACGGTAACAGTGTCACGAGTTTTCACTTCAATAAAAAAAATACTGTGGAAGAGACATGGTTAGGCACATTTGCACCAACTCACCCGCAGTGATTCCAGGACTTCACAGAAAATAGTGAAGTTAACGGAGCCCAAACCCCCTGTTTATTGTTGCTTTATTTGTCTCCTGCCAAAAAAAACTTTTTAGTATGGTTTTCCTATTTGTGCCCAAGCATTGCTGTACCATAATGCCTTCCAATTTGTACTTGACTGGGGTAACAGCTCATAGAAAAATACTAATCGGTCTTAAAATAATCATCAACAGCCTTTAATAGTCTACTGTTCGACATAGGCCTCTCCATAGAAAGGAGGTATTGGCCTACTAGCCAGTCTACGCTGGCCAGACGGGTTAGTATAGGGTTTGGCGTATAGGGCTGTGGCGGCGTGCTGTTGGCGGTGTCATTGGACATCGCCAACGCATTCAATAGTCTGCCATTCAGCTGCATCAGGGAAGCACTCCACTATCATGGGGTGCCAAAGTACCTGAGGCGGCTAGTGGCAGACTATTTAGAGGAGCGTACCGTCCTGTACGAGGACCGAGATGGTAATTCGAATTGTCGGCCCATGTCATGCGATGTTCCACAGGGGTCTGTTCTGGACCCCACTTGTGGAACATAGGGTACGACTGGGCCCTTCGAGCCGATTTCCCCCCCGGGCTGGGTGTAATTTGTTACGCAGATGATACTTTGGTGACAGCCCGGGGGCGAACTTCCGAGAGGCGGCGTGCCTGGCCACAAGGGGAGTCTCCCTGGTGGTCGGTCGCATTGAGGCGCTGGGCTTACGGGTGGCCCTAGATAAGACTTAAGTTCTCTTATTTCATGGGCCCCGTCGTGGTCCACCCCCTGGCGCCTCAATCGTGGTCAACTCGGTCCTCGTACCGGTTCGGGCCCAGATGAAATATCTGGGCCTGATCCTCGACGGGAGGTGGCTCTTCGACGAGCACTTCCGAAAGCTTGCTCCAAAGCTGGTCGGCGCTGCGTCTGCCCTAGGGCGACTTTTGCCCAATTCGGGTGGACCCAGCGTCGCGACAAGACGGCTGTACACGGGGGTTGTCCGGTCAATGGCACTATACGGTGCACCGGTGTGGACGGCGGCTCTGACCGCCCAGAATAGGGCACGCCTCTGGCGCCCTCAGAGGGTAATGGCGGTCAGAGCCATACGCGGTTACCGCACCGTTTCGACGGAGGTGGGTTGCGCGTTGGCCGAAACTCCCCCGTGGGATTTGGAGGCGGAAGTGCTCGCCAAAGTTTATCGGCGAGTGGCTGATTCCCGGGTGGAGAGCGGATTTCGCCCTCCGCCCGAAGACGTGCGCGAGTGGCGCGAAGCCGCTCGCCGAGCCACGATGGCTCGTTGGTCGTTCCGGATGGAGATTCCACGCGCTGGCTTCGCCGCCGTGGAGGCTCTCCAGCCTCCAGCTCTCCAGTGGGCAGGGCGGCAGCACGGGACCCTTACCTTCCGTCTGACGCAGGTGTTTTCCGGGCACGGTTGCTTCGGAAAGTACCTGCACTCGGTCGCTAGGAGGGAACTGAGTCCCGCCTGCCACCACTGCGACTGCAGTGTGCAGTGAGTCTGCCCCGCATGGGCGACGCAGCGCCGGGCCCTCACTGCAGTCATCGGAGTTGATCTCTCGCTACCGGCCGTAGTACGCTTCATGGCCGGAAGCGACAGTTGTTTTACCGCGGTCGCAACCTTCTGCGAGGAAGTAATGTAAAGTAAAGGAGGCAGCGGAAAAGGCCCGGGAGGACGACCTCCACTCGGACCCGATCCGCCGCTGGCAAACCGGGCGGCGGAGGCGCGCTTATCACCGCCTCATGCCGCCCTGAGTGTGGCCGCGGGTGGACGGGGTGGGTTTCCCCTCTACCCGCATTAGTTTGGCCATCCGCGAGGGGGCGGCGTCCGTGTGTGCCGGACGTCGCCTAAAGAGGGAAAATATTTTGAGACGGAGCCCGCAACAGGAACGGGCCGGCGCTAGAAGGGGTCCGGATGTCTTGATAACAGCTGTTCCCCGATCCCTCGTATTACAGGGGCAGAGTGGCACACCGTGTGGTTTTAGTCGGTCCGAGTCCGACACACCACCCCGCCGCAACGGGGTGGTGTGGTGACGCGGGGTGACGGTCCGAGGGGATTTCCACACGTAAAAAAAAAAAAAGTTAGTTTCAAGTTTTCCTTCTCTTTGCAGTGCTGTTGTCTTGCGTAGTTTGTTCCCTATGTCGGTTCTTATGACACCCACGGGATGAATTGCGATGGTGACACTCCGCTTTCTTACTCCGTCCCACACGGATGGGACGGTCTTAAAATAATTTAAATTAAAAAAATAAATGATACACAATTAATGATTGCTGGAATATGACACGCATTGATCGTGAATTGATTTAATAGCAGGGGCAAATACATTTTTGTACATTATAAAACACTCTTTAGCTGTTCACCAGTTATTACTATATAATTTTTTTGTTACGTAACTATTTAAGTTGCGGGTTGGAAGCAAAAGCATCCAAATAATCATAGGATGAAGAAAAACTTTATATTGATGATTATGACAAGGTCTGGTGTATTTAGGTAAAAAAGTGAACACTGTAACGCTCCTTAATCTTGCTTTGTCGTGTTTTTTTACGACAAAAGTACCCAATGAGCCAAACCACAAATTTTTTTGGTTACTGTTTTTAAACAAATCAACTTCATTTATCTATCATCTATAAAATACACTGTAATCTAGTAAAAATACATCCCTATCTGCATCTCAATATCCCTATTTAAAAAATATAATATTTCTTTATTAATATAATTTTTTGAAAGCACTAGCCAGCACTAGCTAGCTATTTCAGAAGTGAGATGGCTGTTTTACAAGTGCTGCTCTCTTATCTATTAATGAACTAATAAATCTATATAGCCTTACTATATACTATATTACCTATTTAGAACATTAAATAAAATTTTATACTCAATACGTACGCGCAAAGACCGCATTTGGTATGTACAAATAAAACAAATGATATTATTAGAAACTTAGGTGATGTTTGCTTGCTCTTGAAACCCATATCTTAAATCATTAATTAGTTATGTTCTGGTTTCTATCCCTTAAGCCTTTTCCGTGTGGTGACGGATTAAGAATACAAATTGTCACCACCCCAATTCATCCCGTGGGTGTCATAAGAGCCGACTAAGGGAGCAAACTAAGCAGGACAACAGCACTGCAAAGAGTAGGAAACCTTTAAACAAACCCTATACCAACCCGTCTGGCCAGCGTGGTATAGTAGGCCAAAACCTCCTTTCTAAGGAGAGGCCTATGTGCAGCAGTGGACTAGTATAGGCTGTTGATGAAGCCTTTTTGGTGAAAAACATGCCTATAATATATGTATAAGGTAGAGTTTGGTAGACTGATCTTTGGATGTTTATGAAATCCTATCAGGGAAGGGAGCCAAGTTAATGATCTTGGTAACAAAAATTGAGAGATCCCGATTTATATCGGGTCACATCCCATGATGAATTCAGGTCAGCATGTATTGTCTTTTCTGGCTATGATCTGGGTTGACGTAATGCCATGAAACGTAATTTTCAAATCTTTTACAATGTTTTACGTTGAAACGTTGTATAATTTAAATACAATAACGATAGTTACATTTTTAAACAATATCCAAAGTTCAAAGAACTATAATCAGTAATTACTGATTTGGAAAATCATATATAACGTACGAAGTATCAGTTTATTGACCTACCAATGTAGAGTTCAGTCCTAAACACATTATTTATGTAAAAGTGAGCTTCTTTCTTTATTTGTTAGCTTGATAGACTACATTTATAATAATATGACGACGACCGGGTGGCGTAGTGG